GCCCTCATTTTTATTGTATTCTTTATGAAATTCTACCTATTTTCACTCCCCACTTTTTCAACTAATTTTGAGTGAAAATACCATTTTACCCTTAATGCAAGTTTAAGGCATTTCTTTATATTCTCTTAAAATAACTTTAATAAAAATTAACTAAGGGCTATAAAATATAATTTAAATCATGTACCTTCATGTTGGGCATTACAGGGCGGTCCAGGCCGGGGATTGCACTATCCCCTTCCCCGGCCCATCCCCGGATACGGCGACATAACTAAGGACCATCCCCGGCCTTATCCCCGTTTTTTTCGTGGATTCCCCGACCCATTCGGGCCGGGTCAGGATGAATCCCCGCGGGGCCGGGGCAAACGCCCATCTCTAGTGCAATATCATTGTAATTAAGGAAGTGGTCGAAATGGTAATGCATTTTGGAATTGTCGAGTTTTAGAAGGATAGTAGTAGCTGAAAAACATAAAAGAACAACATCCTATGAATGCCGACAAATTAAGCACATAACATTGATACCAATAAGGGGGCATTTGGTTGGAGGTAATGAAAGATTACTAAGGTTATCTCATCTTATATTACTTTATTACTATGTTTGGTTTTCAAGTAATATAAGATTCTAGTAATCTTGCATTACCAATAGTTGTTACTGTTGGTAATATTGGAGATAATCTGATTACTTCCATTTTCTTAAGTATTTTAAAATTACCAAGGTAATCTTATTTTTGTTACAATTATATCCCTTATTAATAAAAAATTTGGACAATAATACCCCTGTTTTAAAATAAATTTACATTAATATACCATTTCAATTTTACCTTTGTTTAATTAAGTGTTTGGACAATATTGCCCTTATATTTAAAACAAATTACAAACTGCCACCGCCACCTAGCCGCCACCGCCGACAGCGAGCCAACCACCACGGACCGTCGTCGGAGTCCCTAAAAATGATCGAGATTCATTGGGAGGCTCCGAGAGGCTTCAATGTGGTCAAAACGGCTATATTAGGCCAGATCAATGGATATGGCCATTAACGACCAGATCCCTAGCCATTAGCAGCCAGATCTGGGCCAAGTTTGGTCGTTAACAGCCAGATCTATTCTGCCCTGAATAGATCTGACCGTTAACGGCCAGGTCCATGACCATTAATGGCTAGATCTCACCTAGATTTGGCCAATACTTGCCAAGGATCTGGCCTGAAATGGCCGTTTTCAGCCATCAATATGGCCAGAAACGGCCATATCAGAGCCTTGTGGTCACAGTAAGCTACTCACGGTGATTTTCAGGGACTTCCGACGGTGGTTTGCGGTGGCAGCAGGGGGTGGGGGTGATTTTGTCATAAATTAAAGTTTTATGTAAGCGGGGGTGTTTTAGCTAAATCTGAAATATTGGGGGCTAAAAGAAATTATTCAAAAATTAATAATAAAAATATATTATCTTAATATTTAAAAGAGGACAATTTAGTAATTTAAATAACATACTCACTAATTTAAATAATATTTAAAAAGAGGGCAATTTAATAATTCAAGCATAATTGGAATTTGTTTTAGATGTAAAAAAAAAAAAAAAAATTCTTCTACATTGAGGTGCAAGTTGATTGGATCGTCAATGTTCATTATAAAAAAGTTAAAAATAACAAGTATTATTTTGAAAATATTCTAACCCTCTCCAAGATAAAATAATGATTTCGCCCTGATTATGTCGGATACAAAGATGGGAATAAATGTTCTCAAGGGCCATAAGTACTCCGCGACCTCAACCTACACTTCGAAGTTTGAAAGATATGACCTGCAATCAAAATAAATTTGAAAAAAAAAAAAAAAATCTCTTATTTTCATCTCATTGATCCAATACTGGTTGAATAATATCATTACACCTTTTGTGAGAGACATCCAATTAGGAAAGCAATCGAAATGGTAATGCATTGTAGAATTGTTGAACTTTAAAAGAGGAATACTTATCCCAAATTTTGTANTTGGAATCTTTAGGAAAATGTGTTTGGTTAGTTAAAATAAATTTGTAGGTATGTTATATTAATATGTTTGGTTAGAAGTAGGGATGGGCACGGGCCGGGGCACGGCGGGGATCACTGTCTTCAGCGCCGGCCTGAAAGCCCGAGGAGATTCCCCGATCCTGGCCCGAAGCCCGTTTGGAAAATTCAGGGAATCCCTGAAAAAAACCCGTTCCCCAAACCCCAAATTCCCTGTTTGGGATTTTTTTTTTTTTTCCTTAATTTATACTTTTATTATTATTTTCTCCCAATTATATATACCAACCAAAAAAGAAATTAAACATATAATATACATATTAAACGTAAAGACTATATCATCAAAAAAAAAAAAAAAATTAAACCTATAATGTACATATTAAATATAAAAACCATTAAAGTAACGCTATTATAATTTGTTATTGTATAATGTATAACTGATTTTCAAATAGTAAAATTATTATAGGTATATATGATTGATTTTCAATTATTAAAATTAATATATATATATATACGGGCCGGGGAAGGGGCGGGGCTGTGCAAAGCTAATCCTGACCTCGGCCTGTCCCCGAATTTCAGGGGGCAATTTTGGGCCCGAGCCCGGCCCAAATCCCGAAAAATTCGGGGAAAATCTGCCTCATTCGGGGCGGGGCGGGGCGGATCCCTGCGGGGCCGGGCTATGTGCCCATCTCTAGTTGGAAGGAATAAATTGGTGGATATGTTTTTCAAATTACAAAATTGCACTCTTTTCAAATTTTAATATAATATTGTTTTTATTATTAATTTTTGAATAGTTTTGTTAACCCCCAACATTTCAAATTTAGCTAAAACACCCCCGCCTATATAAAACTTTAATTTATAACAAAATCACTCCCACCACCCCAAGCCACTACCTGCCACCGCCATCCCCCTGCCGAAAGTTGCCTGGAGTCACCGTGAGTAGTTGAGAGACACCGAGAGGCTCTGATATAGCCGTTTCTAGCCATATTGATGGTAAAAAATGCTACATTGAAGTAGATCTGGCAATTTCCAACCAAATCGATGGATATGACCATTAATAGTTAGATCCATAGCCATTAACAATCATATCTCATCCAGATATGGCTGATAAAGGCCATCAATCTGGTCGTTAACAACCATATCTTATCCAGATATGGCTGATAAACGCCATCGATATGGCCTTTAACAACCAAATCTATTGATCTGGCCATTTCTGACCAAATCTACTATAACCGAAAACGGCCATATTGGAGCCTCCCAATGACGGTGGGCTACTCATGATGATTTCCAGCTTCTTTTGGTGACTTTTGACGGTGACTGGTAGTGGTTTGGCTGGGGGTGGTGGCTTAAGTGGGTTACAATTTGTTTTAAATTCAAGGGTAATTTTGTCCAAAAGTTAATTAATTAGGGTAAAATAGTAAAAGCTAGATTTAAGTAAATTAATTTAAAAATAAGGGTATTATTGTCCTAAAATTTTATTAATAAGGGATAGAATTGTAGCAAAAAAAAAAAATTACTTTAGTAATCTTACAATATCTAGGAAAATGGAGGTTATCAAATTACCAACAGGATTATAAGAATCTTATATTGCTTGACAACTAAACGTGGTAATCAAGAAATATAAGATGACATAACCTTAGTAATCCCATATAACCCCCAACCAAATGCTCCTTCAAGATTTAGATGTATCAGTGAAACCTCGGGGAGTTTAGAGTAATAATCCCAACAAAGTAACATAAAAAAACAAACTTATATACAACATTTAAGATCAAACATAAAACAAATTTTCTATTATATACTAACCCACCAAATTATTTTAAATAATAAGTAGCATACACCTTAAGTTGTGGTTTCCAATGAACGAAAAACTCAACACATAGGACAAAATAATTCCTTATTTTCAATAAATTAAGCTTGGATAATGTTGGATTTTGTGAGAGAATGTTAATAAAGAGGAAAAATTGAATAAAGAGAAGTGTTAAGTGAAGAAGAAAAGGGCAATTTCGTCCCAAGGGAATGATAAAATATTTATTGGGGTAAAGAGACTTCCTGAGAAGGGCCGGTTTTCATTTCAGTCCCTAAATTTAGCAAATTAGGGCTAAAAAACAATTCCCTATTTATATAAATAACAAATAACTTGTCTTAAAACATTAGCCAAAGAAACAAAGGCTGCGTTTGTTTCAGTTTTGGGAATACTACTTTTAGTATTCCCAAAAAAGTTAAACAGTAAAATACCAAAAAACTCAGATTTTTGGGAATACTACTCCCAATATTATTCAACTTTTTTTAAACACCTTAAATTTGATAATTTAATTAAATACCCCTAAATATTTTTTTTAAAATTACAAAAACACCCCAATAATCCACATTTACCAGATTCCAGCCACCACCACCGGAAAATGGCCGGAATCTGGTAGGATGGCACACTACCGGCTGAATCTGGTCGGTAGTGCGCCGATCTAGCCTTTTCCGGCCAGATCCACCGACGGCCAACAAACGGTCGTCATTGACCATCAACGACGACCGTTTGTTGGCCGTCGTTGAGAGCAAATACGGCCAGATCTGGCCGTTGATGGCCAGATCTGACCGTAGATCTGGCCTTTTCCGGCCAGATCCACCGTGGATCTGGCCAGAAAAGGCCATAGCGACGCATGACCGGCAAGATCCAACCGGTCATGCGCCCATACGGCGACTCTGGCCACCTCCGATGGTGGTCGCCGGCTGGGAGTGTTTGAGGGTGAATTAGGGATATTTTTGTTAACTTTTAATGTTTTATTATAGGGGGTATTTTGTAAAAAAACAAACATAAAAGGTATTTTATTAATTTATAAATTCTACATCGTAATACCCGCCCAATTTAACTTTTTTTTAACTTTTTTCAAAAAAATATTTTCCAAAACCCCAAAATTTTGAACCAAACGGAGTCAAAGAAAACTGCGCTCTTTTCCAACTATGCCAAAGACAACTGGCCTAAGAGGCCAGATTTTGATCTTCGGTTGGTGACATGGCAGCATTCCACACTGCACACAAATCGAACTTGGATAAGCCACTCTACCCAGTATGAAACCAAACTACGTGGACGCACTCAAGTCTCACCACCAAAATAACACCCTGCTATAACATCTTCTCTGCAGATTCACGTAATTTAGCTTGAAAAATGGCTGCCGAGCCTTTTTTGGGGAAAGGAAATGGTACTACTGGTGCTTCAAGCAGAAGAAACAACAGAAACAAGACACAAGCTCAGCGTTTTTATTTCTCAATTCGAGCTTCTCAGTCTATGGATAACAAAAACAGGGTCTACAAGCAACTGGGTTTGTGGCATTTTCTGCTCTCTCTTTGTCAAATTTATATGTTGGTACTTGATATTTTCAAATGTTGTTTTATGTTCTTCGCATTATACGTTCATATGGGTTCCACCCAGTTTCAAAAATCAGTCGGTGAATGTTAAGATGACGTTGTTTGAAAAATGCACAATGGATAGATAGTTGACTGTGTGTGATAATTTGTCAAAGAAATTTTTTACCCTTTTGTTTGGTTTCAAAATATTGGTTCCTGGCTAATTCATATGTTTATCTTTGTTTTATAAGGGAAGCCATTTCTGTTTTTAACTTCCTCAAGCAAGAGAACTAATTTCCAAGTATGGAGGGGGAGCCCAACTAATTCAAACTCTCAACTTTCAAAATCCTGGCTCCGAAGTTGAACTTTGTACAACCTACTAGTCTGTGTTTAGCTTGTTTTTCTTTCTTTCTTTCTTCTTCTTTTTAATCTCTAATCAGAGATTTTAATATAATTATCTTTTATCTCGGAACATGGAATGTGGGACTGCATTCATTGTTACTTTTGGTGCATGACTAATGACATTGAACGGCTTAGTTTTTCCATTTGTTGAAACTTTACTTTTGAATGGGTTAGATAATAAATTTAATCCTTTGTCTTAGCTTGGATTTTTTGCATTCTTGAATATCTTCTTCTCTGGTTCTACCTTAATTTAAAGAGAAAATGAAAAAGAATTGTAAAAGGAAAGGACAGCCTTAAGCGTGATACATGTAAAGCAGTGGATGCTTGGGGTCTATGGCAATTGGCTACAGCATATTCAGTGAGTGTTTAGGTAAATGAGATATGGCAACTGGATCTGGCTTATGTGTCTCATGTGGGAATGTGTTGGAACCCTCCTGCAACACAGAAACTCACGGCAACCAACACACACACACAATGGCAATAGACACAAGTGATATCTAATGACAGATTGTATTAATGGATACTGAATGAAAGAACAGAACAAATGCAATTGGAAAACAGATAGTTCCCAGCAATTCGAGGAGCTGGGGACCTCCCACCCAATTTCCAGAATATAAACTTGATATCCTACTCTCCACACTCTCTCCCTTTTATAAGCTAGTTATTCTCTTCTGTAACAGAATTGACAGCCACCTGTCCAGCCACCTGTCCAGACTCATAACAGACCCCACAATCCTAACAACTTTTATTGCACACCTCAACCCCTGAAAACAAACTCATACCCAACACCTCTTTATTCCTATTCCTTCCTTTGCCCTTGGATTTATAGACCTTATGTATGGGGGGTCTAACAATACCCGCCCCTCGAAGTGCCACCTTGTCCTCAAGGTGAAATTGAGGAAATTGGTTGTTTATTACATCAAAGGGTTCCCATGTGGCATCGAAAGTGGGCAGATCGTGCCATTTAATGAGAACCTCTGTGGTTCCATCCATAAGAGACCTCACATCCAGCACCTCAGCTGGCTGAACTTGCAGTTCCAAGTCCTCGGTGAGACAGGGAGGTAGAGGCTGTACAGGAACTGAGCTATGTAGGCTGTGTTTCAGCTGAGACACGTGAAAAACAGGGTGAATGCGGGTTGTTAGGGGTAGTTCTAACCTGTAAGCTATCTGACTGATTTTATCCAAGATCCGGAAAGGTCCATAAAACCTAGGACTCAGTTTTTCATTCAACCTTGTGGCCAGAGATTTAAATCTGTAAGGCTGTAGTTGAAGATACACATGATCTCCTGGAGAGAACTGCACATTCCTGCGATGACGGTCTGCTTGTGTTTTCATGTGAACCTGTGCTACCTCCAGGTTGTGTTTAAGGTCCTGAAGGATGGCATTTCGCTCACTGAGCTATTGGTTTACTTCATCAACCTGGGAAGGGTAGTCTGTGAACTTCAGGAGAACCGGGGGGTCACGGCCGTACAAGGCTTTGAACGGTGTCATCTTGGTAGAGCGATGATATGTCGTGTTGTACCAAAGTTCAGCCCATGGCAGCCAATTCGGCCATTGACGGGGTTGTGAGCTACAAAAACAGCGAAGATATGCCTCCACAAACCTGTTCACCACTTTGGATTGACCATCCGTTTGTGGGTGATAAGCTGAGCTAAACTTCAAAGCTGTCCCGGATACCCTAAAAATCTCTTGCCAAAATTGACTCATGAAAAGTCTGTCTCTGTCGGTAATGATGGATTGAGGGAACCCGTGAAGCTTCACTATTTCTTTCATGAATATTAGGGCCACCTCTTTAGCGGTATAAGGGTGCGACAAGAGCAGAAAATGGCCATATTTGGTCAAGCGGTCAACTACAACCAGAATGGTATCGAACCCCTTAGCCCTTGGAAGTCCTCCAATGAAGTCCATTGTCAAGTCATCGAATGCTTGCGTGGGTATCAGTAGTGGCTGAAGTAATTCGGTTGGTTTCAAAGCTGAGTGTTTATTGACTTGACATATGGTGTAGGTTTTAACAAAGTTCTGGATATCCTTCTTCATGCCTACCCAATAAGCGATGTTAGCTACCCTTTTAGACGTCCGGAAGAAGCCGGAGTGACCACCAGTTGGGCTGGAGTGAAATTCAGCAAGCAATTTCTAGATGAACCGAGAGCTTTTTGGCAAAACCAGTCTGTCCTTATACAATAAACAGCCATGGCGAAGTCTGTAGTTTGGTCGGCTATTGGGTGCCACAACCATATCTTGAATCAATTGTCTAAGCTTGGGGTCCTGATGAGCTTCAGTTGCCAACTCTTCAAATTCTGTAAACTGACTCACTGACAAGGATGATAATTCGGGTTCTTCTTCTCGTCGGGATAAAGCATCGGCGACCTTATTAGTGGTTCTCGGCCAGTAGTGAATATCAAACGAAAACCCCATTAATTTGGACACCCATTTTTGTTGTTCCGGTTTTTAATTCGCTGGTCCTTGAGGAACTGGAGGCTGCGTTGGTCTGTGCGTATGATAAACTTCCTGCCCAATAAGTACGGACTCCATTTGTGTACCGCAAACACGACGGCCATTAACTCTCTTTCATAAACTGATTTCTGTTTAGCTTGAGGGGAGAAGGCCTTACTTAGGTAAGCTATGGGTCGTTTGTTCTGAACTAAGACAGCCCCCATACCGTAGCCCGAGGTGTCTGTGTGAATCTCGAATGGAGAGTTGAAATCTGGGGCTGCCAGAACAGGTACTGAAGTCATGGCATCTTTTAAGGCCTGAAAGGCTTGTTGTGCTTCTTGGTCCCAACTGAAAGAATTTTTCTTCAGTAGTCTTGTGAGTGGCTGGGCGATGCTGCCGTATCCCTTTACAAACCTGCGATAATACCCTGTTAATCCCAAAAAACCATGAAGACTCTTCACATTGGTGGGTATGGGCTAAGAAACCATAGCGGCAATTTTCTGCGGATCTGCCTCAACCCCTTTAGCTGAAATTAGATGCCCCAGATATTCCAGCTTCTGCTGTCCAAATAAACATTTTTTAAAATTTCCAACCAATTCATTTTCATCCAGAGTCCTTAGAGTTTGCCGCAGGTGCTTGATGTGGGATTCCAAGTCGGGGCTGTAAATCAGAATATCATCAAAAAATACAAGCACAAACTTACGCAGAACTGGTTTAAATATGCTGTTCATCAGAGACTGAAATGTCGAAGGAGCATTGGTCAAGCCGAACGGCATAACTAGAAACTCGTAGTGCCCTTCATGTGTTCGAAAGGCTGTCTTGGGAATATCTTTGTCCTTGATTCTGATCTGGTGGTATCTGGATCGAAGATCGAGCTTAGAGAAAATAGTTGCCCCTGCTAATTCATCCAGCAGCTCTTCAATGGTGGGGATTGGGAATTTGTCAGGAATTGTTATGTCATTGAGAGCCCTGTAATCAACGCAAAACCTCCAACTTCCATTCTTTTTCTTAACTAACAACACCGGGCTGGCGAACGGACTGGTACAAGGTTGAATAATACGGGCAGCTAACATTTCTTCCACCAACTTCTCAATTTCATTTTTTTGAAAATAAGGATACCGATAAGGTCGGATGTTAGGGACTGGTGCTCCTTTTTTAAGGTTGATGGCGTGGTCATGGGTACGGTGTGGAGGGAGTTTGGTGGGATGGTAAAAAAGGTGTCTAAACTGATCTAAAACTGTCTGAACTCGTGGACTGACTTCTTCCTCTGTGGTCGTGAAAACTCTCCCCAGTGAGTAACATTCCACCAGAATTCCTCCCCCATTGTGGTTGATGGTCCGTAACATTGACTTCAGGGAGACAGCTGACTTCACCAAGGAAGGGTCCCCTTGTAAACTAATTCTGATCCCATCCACCTCAAAGCTCATAGTCAACTTCTTCCAGTTAGCACAGACGTCCCCTAATGAGCTCAACCATGTGATACCCAGAACAATGTCAGCTCCCTTGAGCTCAAAGGGAAAGAAATCCTGCTTAATCTGAATCCCTTGCACATCCAGAGCAATCTGTCGACATACCCCTTCTCCTTTCACAGTTACTCCATTTCCCACCATTACCCCAAACTTTTTCCCCTTTTCTACTGCAACACCCAGCCTTTCAACCAACTCCAGAGAAATAAAGTTGTGTGACGCTCCGCTGTCTACCAACACCACCACATCTGAACCTCTAATCTGACCCTTTACCTTCAAAGTCTTGTCTGACGTTATACCCACGATGGAGTTCATGGACAGAGCTAGGTCATTTCCCTCTTGACTGTGATTTTCTTCATTTTCTGGTGGGGTTTCATTCTTCTTAGACTCGTCGTCATCCAACACTAACAGGATCTGCAATGATTTGCTCCGACAACGGTGATTGGGGCCAAACTTTTCGTCACATCGGAAGCACAACCCCCTTTCTCTCTTGTATTGGATATCGACTTCAGACAAACGCCGGAAACCCCTTCCTGATCCCCCTCGGAAACTTGCGCTGGCCATTTCCGGCGATCTCTCTTTCCTTTCGGGTGTGCGTGAAGATGCGATCTGTCTTGCATCTGGTGGTTTTGTTGCGTTGGGGCACCAGGCGGGTCGGGGCGGGTCGGATCGGATCTGGGTTGCTGGGTGCTTTCGCTAGATTGGACCACCATGTGGGCCGATTTGGATCTAGGCTGTTGGAAACGCGTGAGTAGCTTTCCCTGGATCCTTGGGCCCTGAATGTTTTGGGCCGACTCTTATCCATGATCCAGTTTTTCTCCTCCATGTGATGGGCCTGCTCAATTACTTCTTGCAATGAACTGGGCCTTAACACTCTCAGCTCAGCCCATATTTCCTCTCTGAGCCCATTAATAAAAACTCCCATCAATATCTCTTCCCCTAAGTCCTTCAATGGTGTCGTATGGGACTCAAACTCCTCTCTATATTCAGTCACGGTGGAGTGTTGTTTCAGCGCCACCAGTGCCTCATTCGCAGAGCCTTGGAATGACGGCCAGAATCTGGTGATTAGAGCAGCCTTGAACTCATCCCACGCTTTGAAAGGTTCTCTCCCTTCCATCCATTGGTACCAATTCAATGCTCTACCCTCCATACAAACTGCCGCGGCCTCCACCATCTCCGATGACCCAAATTTATTGAGAATGAAGTATCGATCGGCACGAAAAGTCCAACCAAAGGGATCTTCTCCACTAAAAATCGGTAGTTCCAACTTCCGACCTTTCTTCTCTTCCTTCTCACTTTCCCCGCTTGTTTCTTGTTCCGGTTGTTGGCCATTCCCAGATTCTGTTTTCTCGTCGTTGGAGTGAGGCTTCTCTTTTTCATGGTTTCGTTTCTCATCCCTCTCCTCTCTTAACCTCATCAATTCCCTCATCTCAATCAAGTACTCCTTAAGACTTCCCACATCTGTTTTTACTGAACTCATATCCTCCTGCACAGCCTTCATTTCTTTTTCCACATTTTCCATCCTACCTTCCATCTTCGATTTAACTATTCCCCGCTCTGATACCAAACTGTTGGAACCCTCCTGCAACACAGAAACTCACGGCAACCAACACACACACACAATGGCAATAGACACAAGTGATATCTAATGACAGATTGTATTAATGGATACTGAATGAAAGAACAGAACAAATGCAATTGGAAAACAGATAGTTCCCAGCAATTCGAGGAGCTGGGGACCTCCCACCAATTTCCAGAATATAAACTTGATATCCTACTCTCCACACTCTCTCCCTTTTATAAGCTAGTTATTTTCTTCTGTAACAGAATTGACAGCCACCTGTCCAGACACCTGTCCAGACTCATAACAGACTCCACAATCCTAACAACTTTTATTGCACACCTCAACCCCTGAAAACAAACTCATACCCAACACCTCTTTATTCCTATTCCTTCCTTTGCCCTTGGATTTATAGACCTTGTGTATGGGGGGCTAACAGAATGTGGATAACTTCTTTTGTGAAAGGCATCATTTATCTATAATAACATATCTCCTAGAGAAGAACTTGAGTTAGAATCTTTTATTTAGCTTGTCATGTCACCGGTTTCACTCCTTGTGAGTAAGATGATCTGTTTAGAAAGTGCATGAGCCATTATGGTTGCTCATTTATATGAATTATTTTGTTACAGATAGAAATATTTTATTGATGAATTGATTACATTAAGTTGTTAAATTTTGCAATATCACAGTGTTGCATCTTGTTGGCTTCTGAGTTTCAATTAATATGATTATTGGACCTATAGGTTTGTTTTCTTTAAAAAAAAAGATTGAAGATACAGTTCTCCGAGCTGAGATGCTGGCACCAACAGCACTGGAACTTGAAGAAGCAAGGAAGATTGAGCAGGAAGAGATGATACGTGGCTATAACCTGTGGGATGACCCCACCAAATCCAATGAAATTCTTGTCAAGCTAGCTGACAGTGCCAGAGTAGTTGATGCTCTCAAAGACCTAAAATATAAGGTAATCTGCTGCACAGATTAGATTTTAATTAACTTAGGAATTTGTATTTCTTTTGAGAGATGAGGACAAGAACGTGACTATTTGTTGCTTAGTGATTATAAGCTGGCAAAACTCTCTATTATCATCTATTATAGTTGGCCTCTAGATTTTGCTCATATTTTATCTTTCAAATACTTGTGTCTCCTCATTAGAATCTTCTCTGTTTCAGATCCATTTTTTTTTTTTTCTGTTTTTTATTGGCTTTGGTGAAGTACACATTGATATTTCTTGTTTGTTTGATATGTTTCTAGACTCATTTGAGTTTTAACCCTATAATTTAGGAAAATCTTAGGACTCTGCCAGTCTGATAAACTTCTTCTGCTGTGAAATTATTTTCTTAGGTAAAGATGGAGACTTCTGTATTTTATATGATTATGTATGCTTGTTTCTGCAGGCTGAAGAAGCAAAGCTCATTTCACAGTTGGCTGAGATGGATGCTATCAATTTCGGGCTTTTCAAGCAAGCATACAACACATCTTTACATGTGAGCAAGTTCTTGGATCAGTATGAAATGTCCAAGCTTCTCCATGGACCGTATGACATAGAGGGAGCATGTGTAATTGTTAAAGCTGGACCAGAGGGCATCTGCTCTGAGGTTTGATTTCTATATTGTCTATTAAGTTTAAGTTTGACTGAAAGATGACGCAGCTTTGAGATCTAGGTCGTTCATGAGTTATGTTTTACCTTTAGAACAACTAGAAATAAACAGGTTGGCTCTGGATAGGATCTATTGTAGCTCAGCAATAGTCTGCTAGTCCTTGGACATCAAGCTTTCTTAATTTGTGGAATTATCTTTAGTAAACTAGCATTCCTTTTATAAAGAGTAAAACGTTTGTGTTGGCATGTTGCTATCAAACTTTGTTCATTCTTCTACATAGGTACTTCTTAGATGTCATGCCACTGCTTATAATTGTATGACTTGGAACTGTTTTAGGTTGCCTGCCATTTGTCCTTTTCCCTGAGGCCTCATGCATAATTAACTTGGTCCTCCCCTAATTGTTGTGTGCTTCTTTCATTTGACTATGCTCACATGCCTTGTTGATATTCTCATCTTTAACAATTTACATTGGCATTACTGTTGATTGCTCCTTTTATTGTGAACCTTACAATTTATAGATGATACTTTGTGAGGAAACTCTGAAAATCTTTCATGAGTCAAGCTAAAAGTTTCAGTATCCAAACACCTAATATGCTCTCTCTTCTTTTCATTTTGTTGGGAATATTCTTACACTGGAATTAATGTTAAAATTAACTCACTGATGATCCTGCTCTAAAATAGTGTATTGTTGAGAGCCTCACTTATTCTCTCATTAAGAGTTACTCATTAATGGATATGTTTACTATGAATGCGATAATTCTGTGCAGTTGCTATGAAGTCCTTTGGGTTGTAAATTGACCTACATATGAAATGCAGCTATAATTCCTTTCTAATACAAGATTCTAATATATCAATTCCAGATATGGGCTGAGCAACTCTTAAGAATGTATAACAAATGGGGAGAAAAACAAGGATACAATGGGAGGCTAGTTGAAAAGTGTTTTGGCAAGAATGGCATTATCAAGTCTGCAACTATTGAGTTTGAATTTGAGTGTGCTTTTGGCTATCTTTCAGGAGAGAGAGGTGTCCACCTCCTGATAAGTTCTCAAAGTGGATCTGATGAAAATGAGGTACTGCTTTTCCTTCACATTCTGCTTATTTCAAGTCCATATTTCAGGAGAGAGATGTCAACCTCCAAATTCCTCTCATCTGGGAAATTAATCCACTATGATACTCTTGATTATTTTGTTTGAAGAAAGTTTTTGGCATATATATATATTTTATATATATAATAGTTTTCTAGTTAGGACGTTTTGATATTAATTTTATCATAGTCATGTTTATATACTATAAGATTTATCTAATAAGACTGAAATAATATTTTACAACTCAAATCCAAAGGTATATATGTATGGTCCTGATACAATTAATTCAAGATGTCTTAACTCAATCCGAATGTTTATATTGTGTGTATGTGGGGTAATGTATGGCACGAGGTATGTGTTTATAAATGTTACCCTTCATTCATTTAGACAAGTAAAACCACTTTGTTAACTGAATTTTGAATCTTGCAGACTAGCTCAGCATGTGTAGATGTTGTTCCTCTCTTCCTGGGAACAGCATTTGACTTACAAATTAATGATGAGGATTTAATTTTGTCATCACCCTCATTTCTTCCTGGAGAAGGGAAGAACGTTAGGGAACTTGCAGTTTGCATTCAGCATATTCCTACTGGCATAACTGTACAATCTTCAGGTGCTTGACGAATTTTTGTAAATTTTCATCTTCGTTTGTTTAAGCTATTGGTCCATAATTTCTGTCAAACGTTTTGACGAGATGTGAGATTATATTATTTATGTTTCAGGTGAAAGGAGCCAATTTGCAAACAAGATGAAGGCCCTGGAGAGATTGAAGGCCAAACTTGTTGTGATTGCAAGGGAGCAAGGAGTTTCAAGTGTTAGTTGCATAAATAGGGATGCCATTACGCAAAGAGAAACTCGGAGGTATGTGTCTCATCCTTACAAGCTAGTACAAGATGTAAAAACTGGCATCCAACTGCCTGACCTAAATTCTGTTTTAGATGGAAACATTGAACCTCTTACTGAAGCTCATATAAATATTAGACAGTAAACTGAGACAGACTAAATTTGTTTGATTTGTGTTATGAAACTGAAATATTTTTGCCATCACATGAATGATTCTGAGGGAAAATCAACCCTGTTGAGAAGCATTTGAAACTTTCTTCTCATGTGCATTTGATATCCTAATATATTATAATTTATAAATATATTTTCTTAAATCAATCTCCCAAAAGTTAACATTTCTAGCTGTATATTTTTAATAGACGTTCCAATCACACTCATTGTTTGCTTTAACCCCCTAAGAAAAGTTTCTAATATGTAATAAAACATTCATATAAATTTCACCCCATTAAATAAAAAAATATGATATTAAATTTAGAAATTTAAAATGATGAAAGAAGTTTGCTTAACCTAGAAAACAAAAAATGGACCGACCTCAAATGATTTGTGTATGTATTTGAAGTGAAGCTTAAGTTAGATAAAAGTGAATTTAAAGCATTATTTGGTAAAAGTTAGTCTCAATCTCAAATCAAATGTCGAGCGACTATAAAAATTAAGAGTTCCTGAAATAAATAATTAGAAAGTTTATTATCCAAATGAACAACTACTATAATCAACTTGACCATATTTTTTTGGGATGGATAATACATAGTAGTTATATCAATTCAATTCGAGATTATTATTCTCCTAGTCATAAAGATTATCACAAAGCTGATACCACTTTCGATCTTGATGCGAATTAAATAGAAAACGGGTACACATTATTCTACCGAATCTCTTCATGTGAAAATATGCTTTTGAAGCCCAAAAAAAAATTTACATGTGACGTTTAACCTTCCAGCTCTTTTTTTAATTATTTAGTTATGGGAAGGATTGCATATCCAGCTCTTTTAGGAATTAAATATAAAATGGGTTATCAAATTTGACCAAGCTTTCTAATTAGAATTAGATTTGACTTTCCTACAAAAATCTTAGTTATTACTATATAATTTCAAAATTAGTGTCGTTTTTTATAACTTTAAATTTTTGAATGAGAAATGAAATAGGTATCTTTGGTAAGGTTTGTGATATTCAAATGAAATTTGAAAGATTGTGTCATACTCAACCAATGTTTGCTTTCTGAGATTTTTTTGAACTTTTGTTTTAAGTCAAAGGGACCATGGTGAGTTTTTATATTACTATTTAATATAGGGTTAAATCATGGATTATTGTATATGTACTCTCCAAAATTATTGGGTGTTGTCCGACGGAGACGGTGGTTACTGATATAACTACTAGAAACTAATATTAGCAAGTCAAAATCAAGGGTACGGGATTATTCTCTGAATATTCCATATTGCTGCATGCTACCATGTCAGCTGAGTTCATTAATAATTTTTTTCTTTTTTCCTTTTTTAATAATCTCTTTAAGAGCCTCCAGGAACCATGAGGGGGCTTGAGTTTTGCTGATTAATAAATTGAAATATATTCATATAGGTTTTTCCTATATTATTATTAGTTCATTATTTTGAATAAGATTTTGGAAATAATATTGGATAGTTGAATAGGAGAGTATTACGAGGTAAAATTTAAAAATTTATAAAAAAACCCTTAGGTTTACTAATTTAATTAAACACCCCAACATATAAATGACAAAAATACCCCTACCACCTACAGTGCCAGATTCTGGCCACCACTATCGGAATCTGGTCGGAAAATCGCGTTACGACACAGACTAGTCGGATTTATGTCGTAACGCGTCGTTATAGCCTTTTCTGGCCAGATCCACCACGGATCTAGCTGGAAAAGGCCAGATCTACGGCCTGCTATGACAGTCAACGGCCGAAAAAGGCCAAAACGACGGCCATCTTTGATTGTCAGCGACGGCTAAAGATATGGCCGTCGTTGACGGTCAAATCTGGCCTTTTCGGCTAGATCTATTATGGATCTGGCTGGAAAATATCAGATCGGTGAATTACCGGCTAGTTCTGATTAGTAATTTACCGTTGTGGTTGTCGAAATCTGCCAAGTATGAGTCACGGGGGTGTATTTGTTATTTTTTAAACCTTTTTTTTTTACGGGGTATTTATTGAAATTAATAACCTTATAAGGTCTAAAAGTAATTAAAAAATTAGATAATATTTTTAGAATAATGTGTCAAAGATTATTTGGAGAATAAAATTGAGAATATAGGCAGGAATAACGAACCAAACACAGCTCTCGCTATTTTTGCATTACTAGTCTTTGTTTTTAGATATTTCAAATTTATATTCAGTGTCCTATATCATTATAAATCTAAATTTTATATAAAAACAGTTTTCGTTTCAATTTGAAAAAAAAAAAAAAAAAATCCTTTGGAGATGATGAGAACGTGTAGCACACACACTACCGGTTGTGTGGACAGAAAAAATATTTGGTATAAAACCCCATGTTTATTCGAGTTCTTAGCAAAGCCGCGAATCACGGAGACGCAAACACAACTCAATACAACCACCGATAAACAAGTACCACTCAACTCAACTCCCTACGAAGATTATGGCTTCTAACTCTGTAACTCAACTCTCTCTTCTTCTCTTTTCTTTTCTTTGCTTCTTCTTTTTTATTTTTACATGGCTTTGCTTTTCTTCTTTACTAAAACATGTTTCCTAGCTTCAAAACTGTACTTTTTTTTATGTTATTGGACCTCAACTGGAATGTAATTTTTTTATCCAAGTTTTGTGTATGGTTCCTGGGAAAATATGGGAAATTCAGAGAATTAACTTCTGGGTATTCGTTTTAACCTGGGACAATGAACAACTCCTTTCAGGTTAGCCTAGTTCTATAGTTTGAATTATTGTTATCTTTTATATATTGGACAAAAAAGAACAAAACAGTAACACTTTCATTTTTATTTTACTAAATGTTAGAGGGTGGATGGTCTGTTATATTCTCTTTTCTGTAATATGAAGTTTTTGGTTTCTTCTAGATTAAGAAAAGGAAGCAATCAAATTATGCCATTCTGATTGTTATTGATGGAATTTGGTTGTTGAGTTGAGTCAAGCTTTTGAGGTTAGATTCGTCTTTAGTTTGTAACCACCAATTTGATTGTTAATGCGTGTGATGTGTGGAATAATTAATGGTGATTCAAGCCCAATATTAAACAATAATTTGAGATTTTTCCTTTCCAAATCGCTTAGTTTTCAGGGTAGTAAAGTAAAGACGACTGTCTGTGGAGAAAAAAATTATTATTCTGGTAAGGACCAGTGATGAACATGGGGGCGAAGAAATAATAAGTTTCTGATGTAGTGCTTTATTGTGGTCCTTAGCAAGAAAACATTTGGAGGTGATAAGGGTTAATTTAAATTGGTTGTTCTTGTTTTTTCTGGGCAATTGTAAAGTACCATTTCTTGTAAAATAAAATAAAATAAGAACAATAATTGCGGACTTGGTGTGGACAATGGGATTCTCAGGGAAAGCTTTAACTCTAGTTTGTTGTGTGGCACTCAGCTTCTTGTTGTAACATTAGTTTTTTAATCTCAAGGCAATTTTGCTATTTTATGTAAGAGTCGTTCCAGTTAAGTGTCTGAATTGGACTTGATGCTTTTAATTAACCCTTGTTTTTTAATGCAGGATTGATTCTATCTGATGCTTATTCATACAGACACTAGTCTAAGATGTGGGATATTTAGAGTGTCACAGAAGAGAAACCGACTGTTCTCCATTAGATCAGAATGGAGATTTCCTTGTTTATCAGCCTCCCTTGACATTCGTCATCTCACTAGGAACAGTCAGGTCCAATTCATAACAAACGGTTAGATCAAATTTTACTTATTATTGATATAATGCACTAGTTTTTTAGACTCAAATAATAATCATGCTCTGTAATTGTATGTGATTATACAAATAGTACAAAAGTTGAAGATCATTGTCTGCAGAGGTTTGTGAAACCTGAAACATTCACCTTAACATTCATAGTTTTCTCTTTCATGGCATGGAGTAGGTTATAGATTTGTATTATGATGTTCGTTAGATCCAGCTGATTTTTATCCAATAAAAACGCAAAACATATTGGTAACTTGAAAAAAAGTCTTTTGTTGCTTTTAATCTAATAAATGAAGTCCTCCATCGTATTGCAGTTTTGTATGATTGATAATAAGTGTTCTATTGCATTAATGTTTCAGGTTTCAGATATTCTAAGTTATCAGCTCAAGTCATGGAAACAGCAGGGAGCAATGTGATCATCAAAGATTACTTGCAAGAGTTGCCTCTTTCATCTTCATATGAAAATGCAATGGAGGCACTTTCCTCTCTCATTACACGTCAAAAACGAGGAGAGAAATCACATATAGGTGGCAGATATGGAAAACTTGAAAGGATGTCTATGTATCTTAAGGTAACACTTGAATGATAAAAACATTTAATTGTATATGATTGAGGGCCGTAACTTCTGATTTCTATGCGTTATTGTTGAGTACAGTCTATGAGACATCAATGCTAAACCCTTTTTTTCCTTCTTTATTATTATTTTTTATTTTGGTTACGTTGGAAATGAAATTGGTTGCTGTGCTTTCATTTTTGTCCTGCATGATCATTGTAATTGTTGTTTCTTTCGATTTCAAGGATTATGTTTTGCCTTAAACTTAATTGTTTTTTGGTAGGTTGATGGGGTTGTCCAAGTTATTCCATCCTTAATTTAATTCTTGAAACTTTAGGCTATAGATTGGTTGTCTTAGAAGCACTTATCCTCTTTTAAGAGCCTTATTATTACTTCTATATGGTAAATTGTTAATCTTTTGTGCTGTACCTGTTGGGATGATTAACGATCTGTTATTATTCAATTTGGTTTGCTTCTCTTTCCATTGGATGACTTTCTTATTGAAATTTTTAATTATTATATTACCACTTCAGATTGGAGATTATTAATTTTGTTTATTCTTCATGAAATAATATTGTCTGAAGATTGAAATCAGGGTACTTGTTTTCTTAATAGATATTAGGTTTGGAGGAGCGTATAGCTAAGTTAAAGATCATCCATGTTGCTGGAACTAAAGGGAAGGTACTATCCCACATTTCTACTTTACTATATTAATGTGTTCATCATTATCCTTTTTAAGTAGGGGATAAACTCATGCATCAGGAACATCTGGGAATAAATGGTGCTAACAATATTGGTAGCTGCTCTTTCTTTTTCTTGTTTTGCTTTTTAAGTCGTTAAATACATATTTCAGGGTTCAACATGCACATTCTGTGAGGCTATCTTACGGCAGTGTGGTTTTCGAACTGGACTCTTCACGTCCCCCCATTTAATTGATGTGAGAGAAAGAATCCGTATAAATGGGTTAGTATTCAAATGTATTAGCTTTTATCACCAATGTTACTAATATTTTCATTTTGGATGTTTATTTAGCATTACATAAGAATTCTCCCTTGGAAAGAATTGAAAACAGAATATTAGAAATGGATTTTTGACAAGGGAAGGGAACTGCGACAAAGATAATTACAAGGCCTAATTGATACATTCCAATGATCCATTTCACTGAGGACATATAATGTATCTCTAAAATTAAGTTTGTGCTTTGTGCTTTTGGTGCATGAATTAGTCTTTGTAGGTCTAATGTTGAAACATATAATGATAATTTCAGGAAGGGTAAGTGAATTTATGCTAGTAGGATGTATGATTAAACTGAAGCCTTCATTTGTGCAAATTACCATCTGTTGCGATGGTTTCAGTGTCCTTAAAGGTGCCTGCTGCTGAAGATGACCTTTTCTTTTTCTCCGTTTAACGTAAATGCTGATAACCAAGGTTATTTTAGACTTTATATGTAATCGTATGAAATAAGCATAAAGTATTATTAGTGGGAATTTTGCAAATTATTGTATAAGCAGGCCGCATGAGAGCAGACTCAAGATTGTACTGAAATTCAGTGACAGAACACTGAAAAGTCACTAGAATAGTAGCTAAATTTCATGGCATTCAATTTTTTAATATTATATGATGGAGCCACTCCTTTTCTCTTTGGACAATTACATGATCTAATTTCATCAAGTTATCAAGAGACATTTGGAGCTTATTCTTTTCTGTCTTGTTTAGTGGTCATGCTCGAGTTGCCTTCCGATGTATGGGACTTCATTTGACTCTTTTTTAGATAAATGTGGTTACCAACTAGAAGTGAGATCAACTTGAAGACTTTTTTGGCCATTTGTAGAGATGGACTGATTTAGATTTTAAGGTGTCTCTAGGCTGGGTGTGATTTATTATTGTGTGGAAGGTAGTAATAGTCATTTCAGAATAGGGGCTGGAGTAGGAGCATGTCTTTGCTATATATCGAATTCGATTTATCAGTTTGAAGCTGATTCAATCTTCGCTTTCATCATGTGTGTATGAGTATGCATGTGTTAAAAAACTCATTTTTACAGTTCATATGAATGGTCCTTTACTCAACTTATCAAATTCTCTACTCTAGACTAGTTGAGGTTGGCTACCATTGCTCACACTGAATTGCCTTTGTAGGTTGGAGATAACTGAAGACAAATTTCTACTCTATTTTTGGGATTGTTGGAACCTGATGAAGGTAATAGTTCATGCTTCTCTATTGTTGCCGGGAGATCATTTACTCTCGCTTTTCCATTTATTTTTACTCTGGAATTGTTTTCCACTTCTATCCTTATTTTCTGAACCATTTTTCAGGGGTTCTCTTTTTACATGTGCCCTTGAATCACATCCTTTTGCTTCTAATCAAATCCCAGTTCACAGAAAAATTGTGGAATTTTCTTAGTAGTTGTTTGATAGCAAACGTCTGCTATATTATTCTTTCTCTTCTTTCTTTTATTGTACTTTATTTTTCAAAATAAACTTGTTAATTGGTAATTTTGTGTTGCTCTATCTGTTTCTTTTAATCCTATCTTAGCTACTTTGAGATTGAGAATGATTGAGTTAAGTTGTGTTTTTTTTGTTTATCTGCTGTACTGTTGCTGTGAGTGCTTGATTTGCTAAAAGAAACTCTTGATTAGAGTTTTGATTGAGGGAGAGAGGCACCTCTACATAAAAAGATAAAGTCAGTCTTATCTGCACAAACAATTAACAGTTGTGAAAATTACTTGTCAAGTGAAGTGGAATGTTTTGGAACGTGGAAGGATTTTGTAAACCAAAATGTAGAGTAGATTTTTGAGCCTGACTGTTGAATCAAATTTAGAACTATAATTGTGCATTGGTAAAATTACTTGGTTATCATCATTGCTTAACTATCTAACTTTGGTTTGTACAATAATATATATCTGAATAAGTTTTCTTTGGCTTTTTGGGAAAATGGTACCTTGATGCCTTAATCTGCTTTGGGATCACAATTATTTATGACAATTTCTTATTATAGAAAATTCATTTTGCAGGAAAATGTTACAGATGATCTGCCAATGCCTCCACTTTTTCAGTTCCTTACTGTATTGGCATTTAAAATATTTGTATGTGAACAGGTTAGTTGTGCTATATCTAGTTTTCATTAATTCTTATATTTCAGATAGGGAATACAGCTACTATATCTCATACTAATGGAAAATGAGTTGTTAATCTCTAATCAAATTGTTGAAAGTTTATTGTTCTTCTCTTTCAATATCATTCGTTTGTAGTGGTCAATAACCATCTATAACAAACAGTAAAAACTCCTTTAAAACTTAAGATGTGTTTCTACTTTGCATGGATGAATCATGTCTCTATGACACGATCATCAATAGCTATGGCTGTGGTCATTGGTGACTTATCTTCTTAGTTTTGTATCAAGGAACAAGAAATTGCTGTTTTCTTCTTTGAACTGATTATAATTGTTCATACGTAGGTAGATGTTGCTGTTATTGAAGTTGGTCTTGGAGGAACAAGGGATTCAACAAATGTGGTATGCATCCCATCCAAGAAGTGCCTATGGTGGTTTTGGGGTTTACACCTCAATCTCAACGTTCTTTTTCTTTATTTTTTTATATTTTTTAAAATAAGGTTTTACAAATTAAAAAAAAAAAAAAAAAGCAAAACAGTGAATATAACCTTGTTTATTATATTAGCCTTTCTTTGTAATGATTGTAAATATAACATGGAGGATGAAATCACCGGTCATGGAATTTGGTGATGGAATATGCAGATTAAAGAACCTATTGTCTGTGGCGTTACTTCTTTGGGGATGGACCACATGGAGGCATTGGGTGCGTCATTTTCTGAAATCCTCTTTAATACAAGTTTTTCTGTTTACTTATAGATAGACACAAGTTTATTCAGTGCAAATTGTGTGGCGAATATATGTTACTTTTTCTTATGGGAGTGCTCCATCTGTAATATAATAGTATATATCTCTCATACTTTAATCTTTGTGCAATTTTCTCAAATTTTCCACTAAATTGTGTGTTTTGAAAGTGCTGTGGAAAAGAAAGGCATTTTCTTATTTACATCTGGGTATTTATCATAATCTTATGCAGGCGATACCCTCAGTAAGATCGCTTCCCATAAAGCTGGAATTTTGAAGGTATAAAACTCGTGCAAGAAGTTCAACCCGCATTTATATAATATCCTGTAGCAATGAGTTGCTTGTTTCATAATTTCTGTTTTGTTTATTTAGATTGGAAGTTTTCATTTTTGAGTATTTTCTGAATTTGGTTGATTTCTTTCCTGCTTCTGAAGCCTCAAATTCCCGCATTCACAGTACCCCAGCTTTCTGAAGCAATGGATGTTATTCAGAATAGGGCCCTGGAGCTGATGGTATCATTCTCAAATCCATTATATATATATATAATTAATCAGTTTACTTTGAATGCATTTATGAAATAAGCGCTTAGGGTCATACCAGATGTGTCCAAAAGTATTTTGTTGTAGTATGATCTAAGTCCATATAATTATTTCCAATCAAGGTATATCCAAACCTGACCCTGACTTTAGTTGTGGTGTGGTTTTATGTTTTTATACTGTTTTCTGATGTTCAGGAAGAGCAACTTAGGTAAAAATATCTATTTGAGATTTTGCTAATCAGGTGAACTTTTTAATTAGTTAATAATTGTCTGTTACATTTGTGATTTTCATCTTCCACTATACTATGACCTTTCTTGAAGGTTAAATTGTTATGGGTTCGCCTGAGAGATCATTAAATGTCACTGTAACACAATCTATTCAGAAATTACTAAACTTACCTGAGAAACTAAAAATCCCCCAATGGGTAGAATGTTTTTCCTAAGAAATCTTTTAAAGATTCCCTTTGGTGGGGTCCTTTGTTATCTATTCCAAAATTAGTTGCCTAAGGCTTCATTTATATCCACTCTCAAACTAGCTTGAGTCCCTCCCGACCTCCTGATCTCCACACCTACACACACAAAGGTGTGCCAGTTGTTATTAGTATTCCTGACAGAACTTTTCTTACCATTTGCAGGTCCCCTTGAAATTAGCAGCACCTCTTGATAATAAAAAATTGAAGGGAGTAAAACTTGGTTTGTCTGGTGATCACCAGTTGATTAATGCGGGTCTTGCTGTTTCCCTCTGTACATGCTGGCTTCAAAGAACAGGAAACTGGGAGAAAATATTTCACAATGTTAGTTATACTTCCATGTCTGTTTTATTATTCTTTATGCTTTACATAATTTGTATAATATTCCTTTGACATGGCAACTCTTCAATCTGTTCATTAATCATGTAACGTCTCATATTAGTGAATAACTGATAGGAACCCATTCCAATGTTTATTCTTCATGAAATAATATTGTCTGAAGATTGAAATCAGGTACTTGTTTTCTTAATAGATTAGGTTTGGAGGAGCGTATAGCTAAGTTAAAGATCATCCAGTTGCTGGAACTAAAGGGAAGGTACTATCCCACATTTCTACTTTACTATATTAATGTGTTCATCATTTCCTTTTAAGTAGGGGATAAACTCATGCTCAGGAACATCTGGGAATAAATGGTGCTAACAATATTGGTAGCTGCTCTTCTTTTCTTGTTTTGCTTTTTAAGTCGTTAATACATATTTCAGGGTTCAACATGCACATTCTGTGAGGCTATCTTACGGCAGTGTGGTTTTCGAACTGGACTCTTCACGTCCCCCCACTAAGTATGTGAGAGAAAGAATCCGTATAAATGGGTTAGTATTCAAATGTATTAGCTTTTATCACCAATTTACTAATATTTCATTTTGGATGTTTATTTAGCATTACATAAGATTCCCTTGGAAAGAATTGAAAGCAGAATATTAGAAATGGATTTTTGACAAGGGAAGGAACTGCGACAAAGATAATTACAAGGCCTAATTGATACATTCCAATGATCCATTTCACTGAGGACATATAGTGTATCTCTAAAATAAGTTTGTGCTTTGTGCTTTTGGTGCATGAATTAGTCTTTGTAGGTCTAATGTTGAAACATATAATGAATTTCAGGAAGGGTAAGTGAATTTATGCTAGTAGGATGTATGATTAAACTGAAGCCTTCATTTGTGCAAATTACCATCTGTTGCGATGGTCTCAGTGTCCTTAAAGGTGCTGCTGCTGAGATGACCTTTTCTTTTTCTCCGTTTAACGTAAATGCTGATAACCAAGGTTATTTTAGACTTTATATGTAATCGTATGAAATAAGCATAAAGTATTTAGTGGGAATTTTGCAAATTATTGTATAAGCAGGCCATGAGAGCAGACTCAAGATTGTACTGAAATTCTGACAGAACACTGAAAAGTCACTAGAATAGTAGCTAAATTTCATGGCATTCAATTTTTTAATATTATATGATGGAGCCACTCCTTCTCTTTGGACAATTACATATCTAATTTCATCAAGTTATCAAGAGACATTTGGAGCTTATCTTTTCTGTCTGTTTAGTGGTCATGCTCGAGTTCCTTCCGATGTATGGGACTTCATTGACTCTTTTTAGATAAATGTGGTTACCAACTAGAAGTGAGATCAACTTGAAGACTTTTTTGGCCATTTGTAGAGATGGACTGATTTAGATTTTAAGGTATCTCTAGGTTGGTGTGATTTTTATTGTTGGAAGTAGTAATAGTCATTTCAGAATGGGGCTGGGAGTGAGCATGTCTTTGCTATATACGAATTCGATTTATCAGTTTGAAGCTGATTCAATCTTCGCTTTCATCATGTGTGTAGAGTATGCATGTTAAAAACTCATTTTACAGTTCATATGAATGGTCCTTTACTCAACTATCAAATTCTCTACTCAGACTAGTTGAGGTTGGCTACCATTGCTCACACTGAATTGCCTTTGTAGGTTGGAGATAACTGAAGACACAATTTCTACTCTATTTTTGGGATTGTTGGAACCTAATGAAGGTAATAGCTCACACTGAATTACTCTCGCTTTTCCTTATTTTTACTCTGGAATTGTTTTCCACTTCTATCCTTATTTTCTGAACCATTTTTCAGGGGTTCTCTTTTTACATGTGCCCTTGAATCACATCCTTTCGCTTCTAATCAAATCCCAGTTAACAGAAAAATTGTGGAATTTTCTTAGTAGTTGTTGTTTGATAGCAAACCTCTGCTATATTATTCTTTCTCTTCTTTCTTTATTGACTCATTTTTCAAAATAAACTCGTTAATTGTAATTTTGTGTTGCTCTATCTGTTTCTTTTAATCCTATCTTAGCTACTTTGAGATTGAGAATGATGAGTTAAGTTGTGTTTTTTTTTTGTTTCTGCTGTACTGTTCTGTGAGTGCTTGATTTGCTAAAAGAAACTCTTGATTAGAGTTTTGATTGAGGGAGAGAGGCACCTCTACATAAAAGATAAAGTCAGTCTTATCTGCACAAACATTAACAGTTGTGAAAATTACTTGTCATGAAGTGGATGTTTTGGAACGTGGAAGGATTTGTAAACCAAAATGTAGAGTAATTTTTGAGCCTGACTATTGAATCAAATTTAGAACTATAATTGTGAAAACCCCATGTTTATTCGAGTTCTTAGCAAAGCCGCGAATCACGGAGACGCAAACACAACTCAATACAACCACCGATAAACAAGTACCACTCAACTCAACTCCCTACGAAGATTATGGCTTCTAACTCTGTAACTCAACTCTCTCTTCTTCTCTTTTCTTTTCTTTGCTTCTTCTTTTTTATTTTTACATGGCTTTGCTTTTCTTCTTTACTAAAACATGTTTCCTAGCTTCAAAACTGTACTTTTTTTTATGTTATTGGACCTCAACTGGAATGTAATTTTTTTATCCAAGTTTTGTGTTTGGTTCCTGGGAAAATATGGGAAATTCAGAGAATTAACTTCTGGGTATTCGTTTTAACCTGGGACAATGAACAACTCCTTTCAGGTTAGCCTAGTTCTATAGTTTGAATTATTGTTATCTTTTATATATTGGACAAAAAAGAACAAAACAGTAACACTTTCATTTTTATTTTACTAAATGTTAGAGGGTGGATGGTCTGTTATATTCTCTTTTCTGTAATATGAAGTTTTTGGTTTCTTCTAGATTAAGAAAAGGAAGCAATCAAATTATGCCATTCTGATTGTTATTGATGGAATTTGGTTGTTGAGTTGAGTCAAGCTTTTGAGGTTAGATTCGTCTTTAGTTTGTAACCACCAATTTGATTGTTAATGCGTGTGATGTGTGGAATAATTAATGGTGATTCAAGCCCAATATTAAACAATAATTTGAGATTTTTCCTTTCCAAATCGCTTAGTTTTCAGGGTAGTAAAGTAAAGACGACTGTCTGTGGAGAAAAAAATTATTATTCTGGTAAGGACCAGTGATGAACATGGGGGCGAAGAAATAATAAGTTTCTGATGTAGTGCTTTATTGTGGTCCTTAGCAAGAAAACATTTGGAGGTGATAAGGGTTAATTTAAATTGGTTGTTCTTGTTTTTTCTGGGCAATTGTAAAGTACCATTTCTTGTAAAATAAAATAAAATAAGAACAATAATTGCGGACTTGGTGTGGACAATGGGATTCTCAGGGAAAGCTTTAACTCTAGTTTGTTGTGTGGCACTCAGCTTCTTGTTGTAACATTAGTTTTTTAATCTCAAGGCAATTTTGCTATTTTATGTAAGAGTCGTTCCAGTTAAGTGTCTGAATTGGACTTGATGCTTTTAATTAACCCTTGTTTTTTAATGCAGGATTGATTCTATCTGATGCTTATTCATACAGACACTAGTCTAAGATGTGGGATATTTAGAGTGTCACAGAAGGGAAACCGACTGTTCTCCATTAGATCAGAATGGAGTTTTCCTTGTTTATCAGCCTCCCTTGACATTCGTCATCTCACTAGGAACAGTCAGGTCCAATTCATAACAAACGGTTAGATCAAATTTTACTTATTATTGATATAATGTACTAGTTTTTTAGACTCAAATAATAATCTTGCTCTGTAATTTTATGTGATTATACCAATAGTACAAAAGTTGAAGATCATTGTCTGCAGAGGTTTGTGAAACCTGAAACATTCACCTTAACATTCATAGTTTTCTCTTTCGTGGCATGGATTAGGTTATAGATTTGTATTATGATGTTCGTTAGATCCAGCTGATTTTTATCCAATAAAAACCCAAAACATATGGGTAACTTGAAAAAAAGTCTTTTATTGCTTTTAATCTAATAAATGAAGTCCTCCATCGTATTGCAGTTTTGTATGATTGATAATAAGTGTTCTATTGCATTAATGTTTCAGGTTTCAGATATTCTAAGTTATCAGCTCAAGTCATGGAAACAGCAGGGAGCAATGTGATCATCAAAGATTACTTGCAAGAGTTGCCTCTTTCATCTTCATATGAAAATGCAATGGAGGCACTTTCCTCTCTCATTACACGTCAAAAACGAGGAGAGAAATCACATATAGGTGGCAGATATGGAAAACTTGAAAGGATGTCTATGTATCTTAAGGTAACACTTGAATGATAAAAACATTTAATTGTATATGATTGAGGGCCGTAACTTCTGATTTCTATGCGTTATTGTTGAGTACAGTCTATGAGACATCAATGCTAAACCCTTTTTTTCCTTCTTTATTATTATTTTTTATTTTGGTTACGTTGGAAATGAAATTGGTTGCTGTGCTTTCATTTTTGTCCTGCATGATCATTGTAATTGTTGTTTCTTTCGATTTCAAGGATTATGTTTTGCCTTAAACTTAATTGTTTTTTGGTAGGTTGATGGGGTTGTCCAAGTTATTCCATCCTTAATTTAATTCTTGAAACTTTAGGCTATAGATTGGTTGTCTTAGAAGCACTTATCCTCTTTTAAGAGCCTTATTATTACTTCTATATGGTAAATTGTTAATCTTTTGTGCTGTACCTGTTGGGATGATTAACGATCTGTTATTATTCAATTTGGTTTGCTTCTCTTTCCATTGGATGACTTTCTTATTGAAATTTTTAATTATTATATTACCACTTCAGATTGGAGATTATTAATTTTGTTTATTCTTCATGAAATAATATTGTCTGAAGATTGAAATCAGGGTACTTGTTTTCTTAATAGATATTAGGTTTGGAGGAGCGTATAGCTAAGTTAAAGATCATCCATGTTGCTGGAACTAAAGGGAAGGTACTATCCCACATTTCTACTTTACTATATTAATGTGTTCATCATTATCCTTTTTAAGTAGGGGATAAACTCATGCATCAGGAACATCTGGGAATAAATGGTGCTAACAATATTGGTAGCTGCTCTTTCTTTTTCTTGTTTTGCTTTTTAAGTCGTTAAATACATATTTCAGGGTTCAACATGCACATTCTGTGAGGCTATCTTACGGCAGTGTGGTTTTCGAACTGGACTCTTCACGTCCCCCCATTTAATTGATGTGAGAGAAAGAATCCGTATAAATGGGTTAGTATTCAAATGTATTAGCTTTTATCACCAATGTTACTAATATTTTCATTTTGGATGTTTATTTAGCATTACATAAGAATTCTCCCTTGGAAAGAATTGAAAACAGAATATTAGAAATGGATTTTTGACAAGGGAAGGGAACTGCGACAAAGATAATTACAAGGCCTAATTGATACATTCCAATGATCCATTTCACTGAGGACATATAATGTATCTCTAAAATTAAGTTTGTGCTTTGTGCTTTTGGTGCATGAATTAGTCTTTGTAGGTCTAATGTTGAAACATATAATGATAATTTCAGGAAGGGTAAGTGAATTTATGCTAGTAGGATGTATGATTAAACTGAAGCCTTCATTTGTGCAAATTACCATCTGTTGCGATGGTTTCAGTGTCCTTAAAGGTGCCTGCTGCTGAAGATGACCTTTTCTTTTTCTCCGTTTAACGTAAATGCTGATAACCAAGGTTATTTTAGACTTTATATGTAATCGTATGAAATAAGCATAAAGTATTATTAGTGGGAATTTTGCAAATTATTGTATAAGCAGGCCGCATGAGAGCAGACTCAAGATTGTACTGAAATTCAGTGACAGAACACTGAAAAGTCACTAGAATAGTAGCTAAATTTCATGGCATTCAATTTTTTAATATTATATGATGGAGCCACTCCTTTTCTCTTTGGACAATTACATGATCTAATTTCATCAAGTTATCAAGAGACATTTGGAGCTTATTCTTTTCTGTCTTGTTTAGTGGTCATGCTCGAGTTGCCTTCCGATGTATGGGACTTCATTTGACTCTTTTTTAGATAAATGTGGTTACCAACTAGAAGTGAGATCAACTTGAAGACTTTTTTGGCCATTTGTAGAGATGGACTGATTTAGATTTTAAGGTGTCTCTAGGCTGGGTGTGATTTATTATTGTGTGGAAGGTAGTAATAGTCATTTCAGAATAGGGGCTGGAGTAGGAGCATGTCTTTGCTATATATCGAATTCGATTTATCAGTTTGAAGCTGATTCAATCTTCGCTTTCATCATGTGTGTATGAGTATGCATGTGTTAAAAAACTCATTTTTACAGTTCATATGAATGGTCCTTTACTCAACTTATCAAATTCTCTACTCTAGACTAGTTGAGGTTGGCTACCATTGCTCACACTGAATTGCCTTTGTAGGTTGGAGATAACTGAAGACAAATTTCTACTCTATTTTTGGGATTGTTGGAACCTGATGAAGGTAATAGTTCATGCTTCTCTATTGTTGCCGGGAGATCATTTACTCTCGCTTTTCCATTTATTTTTACTCTGGAATTGTTTTCCACTTCTATCCTTATTTTCTGAACCATTTTTCAGGGGTTCTCTTTTTACATGTGCCCTTGAATCACATCCTTTTGCTTCTAATCAAATCCCAGTTCACAGAAAAATTGTGGAATTTTCTTAGTAGTTGTTTGATAGCAAACGTCTGCTATATTATTCTTTCTCTTCTTTCTTTTATTGTACTTTATTTTTCAAAATAAACTTGTTAATTGGTAATTTTGTGTTGCTCTATCTGTTTCTTTTAATCCTATCTTAGCTACTTTGAGATTGAGAATGATTGAGTTAAGTTGTGTTTTTTTTGTTTATCTGCTGTACTGTTGCTGTGAGTGCTTGATTTGCTAAAAGAAACTCTTGATTAGAGTTTTGATTGAGGGAGAGAGGCACCTCTACATAAAAAGATAAAGTCAGTCTTATCTGCACAAACAATTAACAGTTGTGAAAATTACTTGTCAAGTGAAGTGGAATGTTTTGGAACGTGGAAGGATTTTGTAAACCAAAATGTAGAGTAGATTTTTGAGCCTGACTGTTGAATCAAATTTAGAACTATAATTGTGCATTGGTAAAATTACTTGGTTATCATCATTGCTTAACTATCTAACTTTGGTTTGTACAATAATATATATCTGAATAAGTTTTCTTTGGCTTTTTGGGAAAATGGTACCTTGATGCCTTAATCTGCTTTGGGATCACAATTATTTATGACAATTTCTTATTATAGAAAATTCATTTTGCAGGAAAATGTTACAGATGATCTGCCAATGCCTCCACTTTTTCAGTTCCTTACTGTATTGGCATTTAAAATATTTGTATGTGAACAGGTTAGTTGTGCTATATCTAGTTTTCATTAATTCTTATATTTCAGATAGGGAATACAGCTACTATATCTCATACTAATGGAAAATGAGTTGTTAATCTCTAATCAAATTGTTGAAAGTTTATTGTTCTTCTCTTTCAATATCATTAGTTTGTAGTGGTCAATAACCATCTATAACAAACAGTAAAAACTCCTTTAAAACTTAAGATGTGTTTCTACTTTGCATGGATGAATCATGTCTCTATGACACAATCATCAATAGCTATGGCTGTGGTCATTGGTGACTTATCTTCTAAGTTTTGTATCAAGGAACAAGAAATTGCTGTTTTCTTCTTTGAACTGATTATAATTGTTCATGCGTAGGTAGATGTTGCTGTTATTGAAGTTGGTCTTGGAGGAACAAGGGATTCAACAAATGTGGTATGCATCCCATCCTAGAAGTGCCTATGGTGGTTTTGGGGTTTACACCTCAATCTCAACGTTCTTTTTCTTTATTTTTTTATATTTTTTAAAATAAGGTTTTACAAATTAAAAAAAAAAAAAAAAAGCAAAACAGTGAATATAACCTTGTTTATTATATTAGCCTTTCTTTGTAATGATTGTAAATATAACATGGAGGATGAAATCACCGGTCATGGAATTTGGTGATGGAATATGCAGATTAAAGAACCTATTGTCTGTGGCGTTACTTCTTTGGGGATGGACCACATGGAGGCATTGGGTGCGTCATTTTCTGAAATCCTCTTTAATACAAGTTTTTCTGTTTACTTATAGATAGACACAAGTTTATTCAGTGCAAATTGTGTGGCGAATATATGTTACTTTTTCTTATGGGAGTGCTCCATCTGTAATATAATAGTATATATCTCTCATACTTTAATCTTTGTGCAATTTTCTCAAATTTTCCACTAAATTGTGTGTTTTGAAAGTGCTGTGGAAAAGAAAGGCATTTTCTTATTTACATCTGGGTATTTATCATAATCTTATGCAGGCGATACCCTCAGTAAGATCGCTTCCCATAAAGCTGGAATTTTGAAGGTATAAAACTCGTGCAAGAAGTTCAACCCGCATTTATATAATATCCTGTAGCAATGAGTTGCTTGTTTCATAATTTCTGTTTTGTTTATTTAGATTGGAAGTTTTCATTTTTGAGTATTTTCTGAATTTGGTTGATTTCTTTCCTGCTTCTGAAGCCTCAAATTCCCGCATTCACAGTACCCCAGCTTTCTGAAGCAATGGATGTTATTCAGAATAGGGCCCTGGAGCTGATGGTATCATTCTCAAATCCATTATATATATATATAATTAATCAGTTTACTTTGAATGCATTTATGAAATAAGCGCTTAGGGTCATACCAGATGTGTCCAAAAGTATTTTGTTGTAGTATGATCTAAGTCCATATAATTATTTCCAATCAAGGTATATCCAAACCTGACCCTGACTTTAGTTGTGGTGTGGTTTTATGTTTTTATACTGTTTTCTGATGTTCAGGAAGAGCAACTTAGGTAAAAATATCTATTTGAGATTTTGCTAATCAGGTGAACTTTTTAATTAGTTAATAATTGTCTGTTACATTTGTGATTTTCATCTTCCACTATACTATGACCTTTCTTGAAGGTTAAATTGTTATGGGTTCGCCTGAGAGATCATTAAATGTCACTGTAACACAATCTATTCAGAAATTACTAAACTTACCTGAGAAACTAAAAATCCCCCAATGGGTAGAATGTTTTTCCTAAGAAATCTTTTAAAGATTCCCTTTGGTGGGGTCCTTTGTTATCTATTCCAAAATTAGTTGCCTAAGGCTTCATTTATATCCACTCTCAAACTAGATTGAGTCCCTCCCGACCTCCTGATCTCCACACCTACACACACAAAGGTGTGCCAGTTGTTATTAGTATTCCTGACAGAACTTTTCTTACCATTTGCAGGTCCCCTTGAAATTAGCAGCACCTCTTGATAATAAAAAATTGAAGGGAGTAAAACTTGGTTTGTCTGGTGATCACCAGTTGATTAATGCAGGTCTTGCTGTTTCCCTCTGTACATGCTGGCTTCAAAGAACAGGAAACTGGGAGAAAATATTTCACAATGTTAGTTATACTTCCATGTCTGTTTTATTATTCTTTATGCTTTACATAATTTGTATAATATTCCTTTGACATGGCAACTCTTCAATCTGTTCATTAATCATGTAATGTCTCATATTAGTGAATAACTGATAGGAACCCATTCCAATAACTCAACAATGGGGCTGGGCCATGAGTCTTTCATGGGTTTTGGTATAACTTTCCTTGGAAAATGGGCTGCCAAGGGAGAGTGCCCAAGCTCTTACAACCCACATGTCCACCCCTTTCCCTTCCAATTTGGGATCCTAAGATTCCACCACGCTTCCACACCTTTTACTCTTGTCGGCTTTTTTACCCCTTGGGTGACTATGCGAATCCTCTTTCTCTCGGGCCTCCATACCCTTTCTCGGGGTAGCAGCTCGGGCCCAAGGTCAGCCTACCATGGGTCAGCCTGCCACGTGTGCACTGCTACGTAGACGTAGGATCATGCTCTGATACCAATTGAGAGGAACCCACTCCAACAACTAAACAATTGGGCTGGGCCATGGGTCTTTCATGGGTTTGGGTAAAACTCTTCTTGGAAAATCAGCTTGCCAAGGGAGGGTGCCCAAGGCCTTTATAACCCACTTGCGCACCCCTTTTCCTTCAAATGTGGGATCCTAACTATAACATAATGGGGTTTTGTATTAGTCTTTTTATGTGTAGACCATACATAGGTATGTGGGTGGATGGGTGGGTTCATATGAAAATGGGTATATTAAGTTCCCCTTGAACTTTTAAGTGGTGCCAGTTGAATCATATAGAACCTTGTTGACAACAAAAGGAGTAATCTTCACTGTGGGTGCGGAGGAACCATGATTTAAGAATTTTATGCAGTTCCTTATTCTTATGCAGTTCCTTAGTCTGCTTTTAGTGGTTTGGTGCTCTGTATTTATTATGGAAAATTCATGAATGATGAAACAGGATAGCCAAGAAGCTGATTTGCCAGAGGCATTTCTTAGAGGTCTTTCAACTGCACATATTTCAGGGAGGGCTCAGGTTGTTTATGATACTTCTCCAGTGTCTTATAATACATCAGAAAAAACTGAAAATTCATCTGGAGATCTGGTCTTTTACTTGGATGGAGCTCATAGTCCCGAGAGCATAGAAGCTTGTGCCAAATGGTTCTCTGGGGTTGTCAAGGATATAAATCAATCATCGGCATATTCTTTTAACAAAATTCAAAATATGGTGGAAGTTCGAAGTAATGGTTACGTCAGACATGAAATGGAAAAGACTGAGCAGCCTATCAAAATAACAAAGCAGGTAAATCTCTCACAACAGCTAAACATAGTTTTAGGAATAGATTCTGGTATGTGTTTGTAGAGAGCTTCTATAAACTCTGTTAGTGTGGCTTTCTATAACTTAAATCCTTTCTACAAATTTGGATGTCTGTGCATGCTCATAAATGTTCAATAATCTTTGAACACTTCAAATCACTTCCATTTGTTGGCACATTATATGGTGTATATGCATCTTTGTAGATTCTTTTATTCAATTGCATGGAGGTGAGAGACCCGCAAGTCTTACTTCCACGGCTTGTGAGTACATGTGCTTCTTCAGGTATAGCTGCTTTGGACACAAATGATTAGTTATATTTATAGTTTTTATATCTTAAGGTTTATTTCTTTTGCACATATAGAACCTTTTTAATGATTGTGCACTACCAGTTTATTTTTGTCAACATATTAAATAGAAGGAACACATCTCACCATTTATTTACTATGTGAATTTTGTTTGTCATCTTTTCTTTATTTTTGGTCATATTGTTTATCTAAACCGTGGAACTATGTATTCTGGTACGACTTAATTTTTTTGCTCCGATTCTTGTACTGCTATATATTCCACTGTTGCTCTTTTATTGTCCTCAAGTAGTGCTCTGTAGCAAATCAGTGATAAGGAGTTTGAACTTAGAAAGAATCTAGGAGTATCTAGAATTTAAATTTAAATTTAAACTTAAATAAATATAATCCTAGCTAAGGTTATCTGTAGGTTATCTATTTTTCCTATAACTAGAGAGATGTAACATATGCATAGTGTGATGAATTAATAAAAATAAGTAGCATGTTCTATTCTTTCATGGTATTAGACCCCAGGTGGCTATAGGTAGTAATGGTTAAATTTGCCATGACTGGCGAAAGACAGGGGAGGAGCCAGAGTCCACCTGTTCGTCAGGATGTACCTCCCTAGTCAGGGGAAACATCTTCATCCAATGTTCAGACTACTGTTGATAATTTAGCCATTGCTTCTTCCATTCAGATTAGCCTACATAAATTGAATGGTAGGAATTATATACCATGGTCTCAGTCGATGAAGTTAATTGTTAGAAATCGTAGAAACTTAGACTAGTTGATGGGAGCAATCAAAGCTCCATCGGTTAATGATCCGGCATACCAAAAATGGGATGCCAAGAATAGTGTGGTAATGACTTGGCTGATTAATTCTATGGAGAAGGAGATTGGCAGGTTGTATCTATTTCTACCTACAGTGAAAGATATTTGGGACATGGCAAAGGAGACGTACTCTGATGTTGGAAATTCAGCCCAGATTTTTGAGATGAAATCTCAGTTGCGGGAGATCAAACAAATTAATATGTTCGTGACTCAATATTATAGTGTATTGACCAAGTCATGGCAAGAGTTGGATTTGTTTTTTGAGGCTGACTGGAGCTGCTTTCAAGATAGTGTAAAATACAATAAAATGCTGGAGAAAGAAAGAGTGTTTGAGTTCTTAGTAGGATTGAATAAGGAGTTAGATGAGGTGAGGGGTAGAGTTTTGGGAAAAGAGAATTTACCCGCCATCTAGGAAGTCTTTGTTGAAGTGCAAAGAGAAAAGAGCAGAAGAAGAGTGATGATGGGAGAATCGGCAGGTATAGGTAGCCAAAATATGCAATCAAAGTCTGAGTCTTCAGCCCTTGTTTCAAAGGGCTGTAAGACATCTAATAGTTCTAGTGGAGATCAACAAATGATGCGGAAAGGAGAGAAAGTGTGGTGTGAATTTTTCCGTAAGTCGTGGCATACCAGAGCAACCTGTTGGAAGCTGCATGGTAAACCTGGAAATTGGAAGCCTAATAAATTGGGTGCTAAAGGGATGCATGTGGATGTAGAAAAGGGTGTACCTACGAAATCTGATGAACATTCAGGGGCTTTGCCGTTTAGCAATGAGCAGCTTGAGCACCTGTATGAGTTAATTAATCAGTCCAGAGATGGTCCTTCAGTCATTCTTATTCCATTGCAGAACCAGGTAATTCCCAAACAGCTTTACGCACTAGTTTGGATGCACACAAATCTTGGGTTATAGACTTAGGTGCATGAGACCATATGTGAAGTAATTATGAGGTTTTCATATTTTATAGTCCATGTTACAATAATATCCGGGTTAAGACTGCTGATGGTTCTTTGGCAAATTTGGCTGGTAAAAGGACGGTTCGAATTTCCAAGGATCTTATATTGCATTCTGTACTTCATGTTCCTAGTTTAGCTTGCAATCTTCTGTCTATCAGTAAGTTAACTAAGGAAGTGTGTGGCTAAATTTTTCTCCTCATTCTGAATTTCAGACTTTCTTCTCGGGGAGATGACTGACAATGTTAGAGAAAAAGGAGGACTTTACTTCTTTGATGAATTGGATACCGAGAAGAAGTGGGATACTGAGAATGTTGGAACCTGACTCTAATTCTCTAATCAATTTCACATTCAGTTCACCACTACAGCCAATAAACAGCAAACAAACATACCAACACTCGATATTCAATCAAATAAATTGATATTTGTATTAAGAGATTAATAAACTGTATTACAAATGGAAAAGAACGTAAAAGGACATCAAAGAAACAGATAGCAGGCTGATCTTTAAGGGTCAGCTCCTCCTTTACAATTTCCCACTTAATTCCATGATATCACACTTATCCAACCTTCTCTCTTTTATTCTACTCGGTTCCCACTCCAACTAACTCTTCACACTCATTGTATTGATGTGCCACTTGTCAATCCTTGCTTTTCCCTTTCTGCCATTTTCAGTTATACCATTTGGTTATCGGGGGTCCATCAGAGAAGAACTCTGTTTTAGCTTTTAGGTGTAATTCTGTATTTGTTTCAGGTAATTTAGAAGTAAGAGTACCGAGAGTACCGGGTTGGAAAAAGGGTTGACACTTGGTTTGATAATCCCTGAGGCCATCATCTCTCGAACGATCTAATCTATCTCGTTTCTCTGGTAGTATGGGTACTGGTAGGAACTGACATTAGGGACTGGAGCTTCCTGTTCTAGCCTGATGGCATGATCATGCGCCCTTGCTGGCGGGAGCCCTGGTAATGGTTCAAACAAAGCTTCATACTCTCTCAGCAATTTAGAAATGCTACTATCCACCACTGTTTCACCCACTTCCTACAGTTGCAGATTTCCCAATTCTGGCAAATACCTTGGTCCCTTTGTCTGCAGTGTTTTAATCATCTTCTTCAACGACACCCTTGTCTTACTCAGTGAGGGATCCTTAACCAAAGCTACTATTTCCCAGGAATGGTTAAACTTCATCATAGACTCCTTCTAGTTCGTTGTGGTCTCACCCAAAGTTTCAAGCCATGCAATGCCCAAAATGAAATCGGCGCTGTTCATGTTGAAAGGGTAGAAGTTCTGAATCATGGTGATGTTCTGCAGCTTCAAACTCACCTCACGGCATTCCCTTTGACAACTCACTCTGTAACCATCCCCAACTCTGACTCCAAAAGGTTTGGTTTAGACCACTAAGATTTTTAATTCTTCTACCACCTTTCGATTGATGAAGTTGTGAGAAACCCCGTTGTCAATCAATACTATAACACTCTTCCCTCCAATCTCACCTTTTGGTTTCAAGGTTTTGGGCCCATTTATGCCTTCCACCGAACTGATTGAAAGTTCAAGGGTCCTTGGTACTTCTTCCTCAACTTTATCTTCCACTGAAAACATTTTGTTCATCTCTGGATCGTCATCTTCCCCTAACAACATTTGGATTTTCTTGTCCCCACATCGGTGACCTGGTGAGTATTTGGCGTCACACTGGTAGCATATACCCTTCTCCCTTTTTCTTTGGATCTCAGCTTCGGTCATTTTCTTGTAAGGAGACTCTCGTTGGAATGGATTTGGTTGGAAGTTGACCGATGAGGATGAGTTGGGACTGGAATGAGCATCACTTTGGTTTCGTCGTAGGGATGGATTTGGGGTTGAATATCGGGTTGGATCATTTGGGGTTTCAGTCTTATTAATTTCTTCGGGTTGAGTAGGGTAGCTATAAGTCTGTGGCCGTATAGATGATTGAGCCCATTTGTTCTACTTGCCTGGTCCAAGTTTGGCCTCATCCATAATTTGGTTCCTCTCTTCCACCCTTTGGGCCAGCTGGGTCACATAAGTTAGAGAGTTGGGCCGAGCTATTATATTGGGTTGCTGAAGCTTTATTTCAGCTTTTATTTCTAGCCTGAGCCCATTAAAAAACACAACAATCAACACCTATTCCCTTTCATCGATAGTTAGTGCCGCCACCTCCTCAAATCGGCGGCGATACTCCAACACCATACCATTTTGCTTCGTTGCCATCAACAGATCCAAGGGACTGACATCCTGAGTTCCACTAATTCTTTGGGAGAGGGTTACATTGAATTCTTGCCAATTGGTCATCGCCAATCGGGTCTCCATCCATTGGTACCAGTGGAGGGCTTCTTCCTCCATACACAGCGCTGTCGCCGACACTTGGTGCTCATCAGCGATTTGGTTGAATGTGAAATAGCATTCTACCCTGAAAATCCACCCATACGGGTCTTTGCCGGAAAAGATAGGCAACTCCAGCTTCCGACCACTCCAGTCACACTAATACCACCCCTCTCCACCTTGATTCCATCCATCCCCTGATGGGTTCTCTCCTTGATGTCCCTTGTTTCCGTGAAGCCCATTTTCAGTTCGACCTCCTCCATTGGCTCCACCTTGATTTCCCAGATTTTCATGGAGTTCTGGCTCGTTGTGACCTTCCCTGAAACAACTTGAGTTCCCAGTTAAGTTTCTTCTACGTTCCTCCTCTTCTTCATCCTTTTTACGCATCCAATGCATATCCATCAATATCTCTCTCATTGCATTCATCGTCTCCGTCACCTTAGCAACATCTTTCTCAACGTTGTCTAATCTATTTTCCATCCTTGTACTAACCATACCCTGAATTCGTCTAGCTCTAATACCAGTTTGTTGGAACTTGACTCTAATTCTCTAATCAATCTCACATTCAGTTCACCACAACAGCCAATAAACAGCAAACAAACATACCAACACTCAATATTCAATCAAATAAACCGATATTTGTATTAAGAGATTAGTAAACTGTATTACAAAATGGAAAAGAACATAAAAGGATATCAAAGAAACAGATAGCAGGCTGATCTTCGAGGGTTAGATCCTCCTTTACAATTTCCCACTTAATTCCATGATATCACACTTATCCAGCCTTCTCTCTTTTATTCTACTCAGTTCCCACTCCAACTAACTCTTCACACTCATTGTACTAATGTGTCACCTGTCAATTCTTGCTTTTCTCTTTCTGCCCTTTTCGGTTATACCATTTGGTTATCGAGGGTCCATCAGAGAAGAACTCTGTTTTAGCTCCTAGGTGTAATTCTGTATCTGTTTTGGGTAATTTAGAAGTAATAATGTGGCATAGGAGGCTAGGTCATCCTAGTTTTTCTCATTTACAAAAATTGTTTCCTTTGATGTTCAGGAATAAAGATCCATTATTATTTCAGTGTGATATATGTTAAATTGCAAAACATACGTGTTCAATGTATCCAGCAAAACCATATAGAAGTTCTAGACCTTTCTCTTTAATCCATAGTGACATTTGGGGACATTTTAGGGTTACAAACCGTATAGGAGCTAAATGGTGTATCACCTTTATAGATGATCAAACCAGGTTGTGTTGGGTATATCTTATGAAAGACAAATCCGAAGCAAGAACAGATTTTCCAGAACTTTAATTCTATGATCTATATTCAATTCCAAACTAAAATTCAGGCTTTAAGGACTGATAATGGTAGAAAATACTTTACTTATGTCCTAGGAAAATATCTATCACACCATGGAATTATACATCAGAGTTCATGTGTTGATTTGATACCCCATAACAGAATGGAGTTGCTGAGAAGAAGAATAGACACCTCTTAAAGGTTACCCGGGCTTTGATGTTTACAATGAATATGCCCAAATATTTCTAAGGTGATGCCATCATAACAACCTCATACTTGATTAATAGGTTACCAACTCGGGTTTTAGATTTTAGTACCCCAATGTCTACATTTTTTAAGGTGTTTCCTAGTTTTAGGACATTGAATTTTCTTGCTCTGAAAGTTTTCTGGTGTATAGTATTTGTTCATGTTCAGTCTCCTAATAGGGGTAAATTGGATCCTAGGGTTATCAAGTGTGTGTTCATTAGGTATTCTTCTACTCAGAAGGGATATAAGTTTTGTCCACTCTCAAAAAGTTGTTTGTGTCTAGGGATGCTACTTTCTTTGAGTCTTATCCTTATTTTACCAAAACTTTTCTTTAGGGGAGATTGTGAGTGAAGATCGTTTTTGGAAAGGTTTACTACCTATGGAACCTGTAGATTCATCTGTAGATTTAGGAAGCCAGAATTCTAAATCAATTTAACTACTTGTGGAACCGGCAGATTCATCTGTAGATTTAGGAAGCCAGATCTAAACCAACTCAAGATTCTTAGAACTTGAGTTCACCTTCAATCATGCCTCCTTTAAAGTCTAATAAGTTTGGTTCTATTGATTCTATAGATCATATCCATCTGTCTCAGGAAAAGTTACACATAGGGGGAGGATTGGAAAGATTAAATAGATCGAGACTGAAATTTTATTCTCGGAAATCCAGTTATCAAGGTAATGAAGATTCTGAAGAACAGCATGGCCAATTGTCTCAACTGAGAGAAGTATCTGGTTCACAATTGACAGGTAAAGAGAATTCATTTGAAACTTCGTCTGATAAGACTGGTTCTATTCTTGATGATAGTTATTATCTCTCTATAGCTATTCAGAAAGGATTTCGAACATGTACTCAACATCCTATCTCTAAGTTTATGTCTTATGAGAAACTCTCATCCAAGTTTTATGTATTTGCCACCGGTCTTTCTACCATAGAGATTCCAAAGATAATTCAGGAAGCTTTGAGTGATCCTAAGTAGAGAGAGGCTGTTATGAAAGAGATGAATGCATTGGAGAAAAATGAAACTTGGGAGCTTGTGAATCTACCTGACCATAAGGCTACTGTTGGCTGTAAATGGGTGTTTACTGTTAAATACAAGACAGATGGTACAGTGGAGAGATACAAAGCAAGGTTAGTGACTAAGAAATTTTCACAGACATATGAGATAGACTATGAGGAAACATTTTCTCCGGTGGCTAAGTTGAGCACCATCAGGGTATTGTTATCACTTGTTGCAAACTTAGGTTGGCCTTTACAACAATTGGATATCAAAAATGCATTTTTGAATGGGGATCTGGCAGAAGAGGTTTACATGGATTTACCAGCATGTTTTGAAAGCAAACAAGAGGGTAGTAAGGTGTGTAGGCTAAGTAAATCATTGTATGGCTTAAAGCAGTCTCCTTGGGCTTGGTTTGATAGATTTACTAAGGCTATTAAGAATGATGGGTTTACTCAAGGGCAGTCCGATCATACCCTATTCTTCAAGAAGGTTGATGGTAAGATTACAATTTTAATAGTGTATGTTGATGACATTATTCTTATAGAGAATAGTCTTGAAGAAATAGAGAGGGTTGAAAAGGCTCTTGCTCGGGTTTTTTAGGTCAAAGATCTGGGGCAGCTAAGGTATTTCTTGGGCATGGAGGTAGCTAGGAGCAAGAAGGGAATTTATCTGTCTCAAAGGAAATATGTTCTGAAACACCTTTGAGCTTAAATCAAGAATTGATGGGAATAGTAGTGATACTCCAGTGGGTAAGGCTAGATATCAAAGGCTTGTTGGGTGGCTAATTTATTTGTCTCATACTATACCTGATATAGCATTCTCAGCGAGTGTTGCAAGTCAGCATATGCATAATCCACAGGAGATACATTTGGAGGCAGTAAAAAGGATATTAAGGTATCTGAAGATGACTTTTGGGAAAGGACTATTTTTTAAGAAGAGTTGTGAAAGACAGATGGAGGCATTTACAGATGCGGAATGGGCAGGCTCAATAAGTGATAGGAGGTTGACTTTGGGGTATTGTACTTTTGTTTGGGGCAATCTGGTCACTTGGAGAAACAAAAAACAGGCAGTGGTGGCAAGAAGTAGTGCAGAAGCTGAGTTTAGGGCTATGGCACAGCGTATATGTGAGTTACTATGGCTGAAACGGTTATTGACAGAGCTGGATGTTAGGCAGGAGGATCCTATGAGGTTCTATTGTGATAACAAAGCTGCTATCAGCATTGCACATAACCCAATGCATCATGACCTAACCAAGCATGTGGAAGTAGATCGTCATTTCATTAAAGAGAAGATAGAAGGAAAGCTTTTGTGTGTTGTCTATCTACCTATGAGTCAGCAAGTAGTAGGTGTTTTTACAGGACTGTCTAGGCCACTCTTTGATAGTCTAATTTCCAAGCAGGGAATGCTAGATATTTTTTCCACAGCTTGAGGGGGAGTGTAGGAAATCAGAGATAAGGAGTTTGAACTTAGAAAGAATCTAGGAGTATCTAGAATTTGAATTTAAATTTAAACTTAAATAAAGATAATCCTAGCTAAGGTTATATGTAGGTTATCTGTTTTTCCTATAACCAGAGAGATCTAACATATGCGTCGTGTGATGAATTAATAAAAATAAGTAGCATGTTATATTCTTTCATGCTTATTTATTTCGTTGAAAAACACTTGATTGGAAAATAAACAATTACATAGATTTGGAAATTACTTGTAATACTGTAAGATTACCAAAGAAGATGCTTCTAAATCATGAAATAACACCCAGTGAATTTATGCTACTTATTATTTAAGCTTAATCCCAAAAACATGGAGCTAGCTACATTAATGGTTGTAGTAAAGTTCTACCCTATCCAGAGCAATATGAATTTTTTTTTCTTTAGACAAGAAAATTCATGTTTTGACTGTTGCTCTTTGAGCTTGGATTAATTTACGGTTTGATATGATCTTGCTCAGGAATTCATTTTTCCAAAGCGCTTTTCGTCCCAGGCATCTCAACTTATAACAAGGTTACATCTTTTTCCTCAGCCATTCCCTTGGATATCCCTTGCAGGGACTTGTCATGGCAATTAAGCCTCCAGAGACTTTGGGAGAGGATTATTCATGGGGCTGGTAAATACCTTATTCATCTTTTATTTGGTTTGCTGAATAGCTCGGTGTTCTTTATTACCCTTTGTCAGGTTAACTTGTTAAAACACTTACTATTTGACTTTTACTTTTCTTCAAGATGAATTTAATTTATTATAAATTAACATATGTACTGCCCTTGTAAGTCGCTTTGAAGTGGCTGGTTCTAATACTTTGGGCGAGAAATAGTCTGTTTGTAAATGAGTCTTTACGAACTAACAGAAGCCTCCCTTATACAATTTGTTAAAGCTTACATGTTAAGTAATTCTTTGATGCAGTATCAAAGTCAAGTTGACTAAAAGGTTTGTATTAGAATCGTCTTACTGTATTAATTATTTTATAATAAACTATTTCTATGTTTATGGTTGTATTTGTGGCTCTTGTGTTTGGCTAATATGCAAGTGTGCCTTAGGGGACGTGTTAAAGCTTAGATACTATATTTGGGTCCTTTTCTTTTAGTTTAAGCTTTAGTGGTAACTTAACACAAGTAAAATTGGTTCTTTAATTTAAGGCACCGTATGATGATGTCTGTAATAAAGTAATACTTCCATTAGTAAGGTCAATAAATGAGAGACTCATTTCTTATTTTCGTTTTTCTGTAGAAGAAGTAAGCTGCTGAACTTCTTAGGATTTTGTTTGAACTATGATTGTTCATTTCATGTCTCCCTTAGGGTTTCACATCGATAAATAGTTCAGGCACACCCAATTGTAAACTGGAGGGAAACTATCATTCTCTAAATATTTGGTAAAAAATCTTGAGAGAACCCTTTGATTCCTTTTGTTGTGGTATACATACCAGGAAGACCGCTAGACAAGTGCTGCAGATTACAATATTGACTTGGATTATTTTGATGAGCTGACAGTTAGCCACTCGGATAAATTTGACTGTGTTTAGGATTTGTTTTATTTTTAGCATTAGAGATTTGCATTGCTTTTCGGATTATTATTATTAAGTTGAATTAGGATTTATCTTGTTAGAATTTTAATCTTATTAGTGTTTTAGGATTGATATTTATGAATAAGAGACTATTCTGCCTTTTAGAGTCAGGTTGTTATTTTCATTTGGTTAATAAGCTCTTGTCAGTTGCAGCAATTCTCGTATTTTGTGTGAATTAAGAGCTTTTTTTTTTTTGAATTTCCTTGGTATTCTCAGGATCAACAAGTTATTGATTATCATATCCCCAGCCTACATCAAGTAATTAGGACCAGAACTTTTTTGCAAGTGTTTTTTTCATGTTTTTTCCCTTGTTACCTATGCATTTTGGAGTACTAGAAGTGCATTAATGATAGTGAACTTTGATCTAACCAGCTCACTGGTGTTCAATTGTTTTCATTTACAGATCCTGTTCTTGAAAAGAATTCCAAGAATGATTACGCAGAGACCTTACCTCCGCGTGAATTTCTTTATGAGGATGCTTCTCATTGCAGGCCTGCAAACCAATGTTTTGCTTGCAGCGCTGTGCTTCCTTCCTTGCCATTGACAATAAAATGGTTGAGAGATTGTGTTAAAGAAAACCCCTCCTTAAGAGTTCAGGTAAGTGTCGTCTTTTAGATATCATTCTTATTTAAACTTGATATCACTAAACAAGCAGAAAATATTCCATATATCCACTAGTTAATGTAGTGTAGCTTTTCCATTTTTCTTAATTTAGAAATAAGAAAGAAAAATAAAAAATTCTATTGTCTTATTATTATAATTAGTTTTTTCAACATTCTTTCATGTGTAAAAACATCAGTAGGAAACATGCGGTTGAAATGATTTTGTAGACACAGGGATAATCAATCTCGGGGTTGAGAAGTTTTATACCACAGATGATTATTGATTGCACTGCAAAAACATTGATCATTTAACTCTCACTCACTGATGTGGAGTGTGCATGACATTCTTTTGATAAAACAACACTCGAAAGCCATGATTTTTGTTTTTTCCTAAAAACATTTGTATCAAGCTGGAGATGCGTTATCTTGCATTTACAGGTTCTCGTTACCGGTTCATTGCATTTGGTTGGAGATGTATTAAAGCTATTAAAGAGATGATACAATACACAATTGAAGGGGCTTCAACCCACATTGATTTATACTCACATCATTGGAATTGCCAAGGTGATGCCTGGCTAAACTAATAAATATCCTTGTAATATCGTCGTTGTTGTTGTACCATTAATTCTTAAATTTATTCATGTAAAGACGCGTATCTCCATTTTGAGTCTACCAAATTTGAAAGATGGTACTAGTTTTGATAAAAGTGTTGGAGGAATTTGAGCCATTCTTATGGTAGATGGTTGTTTAGAGCACTGTTTAAAACCTAGACCGAAGGGCAACCCGTTCTGCTATTCGGTTCAATCGATGACATCATCACACAGCATGATGACATCAACACATTAAAAAAAACCTTTTTTTTTTTTTTTAATAAGACAATAATAACTTAATTATTGTCTAACATGATTCAAAGTTTAAATTTAATAACAATCCCAACATAATTTAAGTATGTAACAATAATTCAAAGCCCAAATCCAGACATGATGTTGTATTTATCCATTATATATTAAATGACAAAATACATAATGATTAATAACAAAACATTTAGTGTAAGTGTTTTTTCTTTGATTCGTCTTCATGTTGATTGAGTTTCACACACTAGCATAAAAATTCATCACTATCATCATTATCATAACCATCACCATCATCTACATCAATTTTAGTAAAAAATAGAAATCATAAGTTAAAACTTATAATTTAATTTAAATAGATATTAAGTTGTTTAAATATTTGAAATCAACATTCTGAACCATCGGTTGAATCATAAAAAGAAGGGTGATCAGTAATTCCAGTAGGGATAGATCATTCTTCATATCATAAAAAGAAAGGTGATCAGCAATTCCAGCAGGAATAGATCATTCTTCATATAACATTTGTTCAAACTCCTCATAATTAAATTCACTGACCTCTTCTTCATCGTAAACTATCCAACCTTCAGTTTTGTCGATACTTTCACAATCAATAGGATCAAAACTTATTCTAAACCCCACAAATCACGAACTCAATTAACCCCACAAATTGCTAAACCCTAAAAACAACAAACATCATTCAACCCAAAAGAATAAATAAAACCCATACGAAAACCAGGAACTTAACCACTTCAATACAAATTAAAAACGCAATAAAACCCAAATAGCAGCCCCAAAAGTAAAATAAAAAATCGAACCAAACCGAACGTAAACCGATCCCAAAAACCGATTTTTCGAAGTAATCGGTTCGGTTTCAATTTTCAAAATTGACCAAACCGTATAACTAGTTCAGGTAATGGTTTAAAGGTAATTTTAAACCAGTTAACTAAACCGGTTTTGTAAACAAGTTTTCCTAAAAGTAAAAACCTTAATATCTCTAAAAATCCTAGACGTAAAATCTATCGACATTTCAAATCCCGTTTGCTTTGAATCCTCTCCGTCTCCAACTTCCAAAGGCTGAACTACCACCGTGACACTGTCTGATTTGTCTCGGCATCTCCATAACTCCATTTTCTGGCCTAATCACCACCATGACATTTCAATTCCATTTAAATCCTCTGTCTCTACTCTCCAATTCCCTATTCATTTTCGATTCAATATTATGCAGTAACTAAGCACGACTCCACTTCAGTCTAGTTGATCACCGATTCAACTGCCCTAGGTAAGAGAAATCTTAAAATCGTTTGTGTATTGTGTTGATCAATTTCCGGCGAGGGAGGAAGGTGTCGTCGCAATTTCAGAGCTTGAGTTGCGATCGATTTCAGCATCGATTTCAGACTCAGAAAGTGGATTTCGTTGAGATTGAGTGGCGATTTGTGTGGGATTTCAAATTTTCATATTTGTGTTAACATTTTTTCAGAGGATTTTGCGTAGAGAAAGGTGAAATTAAAGAAACTGAGAAATTAGAGATTTTTCCCCTTTTTCAGACGCTGGACTGGTTTTTCAATCGGTCCGATCCGACCGGCGGTTTACACTGTTCACGCGGTTTATTGACTGTTCATTTATTAATGTCGGGTTTTATGCTGGCTCGAACCAAACACGTGACTGGGTCCCGGTCCAACCGATTGGACTGATCGGTTTGATTCGGCTTTTAAAATAATGGTTTAGAGATGTTGTAAGCAGAGTGGGAGTAGTCATTTTCAAATAAGCCAACATATGTTTGGTGGGTGCAAGGATTATGATAATTGAGTGATGGAAGTAAGCAACTTAATGGTAATGGTATTGGAGAATGCCATGTAATCTTTTTATCCAAACAAATAATGGACCTCCTTAGTGTTCCACATTGTTATCACTTATCATTACTATTGATTCTTTCTCAAATGCCAAAAACATCGCATCACCATTAAAGATCCTTCCTGGATCACCCTTTGCCTAGTAAGTTTTTCAAATTTAGACAACTTTCACATTTTTTATTATAGACTACTCTCAAAATTTGAAAATATATCATGGAGACCCCCATTGCACTATCAAATATTCAAATGTACCCTCAAAGTTCAATTATCATGGATATCCCTTTGCGTTAACCTTGTTACATTGTCGTTAGGTTTGCAAAACACTTTCTTATAAGACTAAAGCTAGTATTTCACTCATCTTACTATACACGACAATGTAATGGAGTTAGGGTAGAGGAGTATCCATGATAGAGTTCCAAACTTTGAGGTTAAGGGGTAGTCTATGATAAAAAATGCAAAAATTATCATCCAAATAATAAATTTAGAAACCTTAAAGTTAGTCTATGATTATCTCCCATATTTTCAATTGGAATCAAAACAACACATTAAAATTATTATTCAAACTTTTTTAATTTTTTGGATTTATGAAACATTCCTTTATTTGTCTAATCCTTCAAAAGCATACATTATATGGAGATAATTATTGGCCTAAATTTAAAATAAAACATTAAATTAGAAAGAAATTAAAAGTTGGCCAATTTTGTCAGTAAAGGAGAGATCTATTTCTTTATCTGCAATTTTTTTTTTTTATTATTTAAAAAAGGACATATATCTCCATCTAGAAATTAACAAGGTAACAATATATCTCCTGAAAATGAGTTATCTCAATTTCAATCAAAATTATCTTATTTTTAATTTTATAAAAATCATATTTATGCATGGAGTTAGTTTTAAAAATTAGACAATTTTGTAAAGATCCATCTATAGAACAGTAATAAATAAAAAATTAATGTTTACTATTATTCTAGTAATGCAAATAAATTTTGAATTTTGAGGAGGATGCATGAATTGACATATTCATCTGTATTTATATATTATGGGAATATAAATTACTTTAAAACATCTTATTGAATTAAATGTTTTGACAAATTAGTAAGTAGCCCTTTTAACATTTAAATAATTAATATATAATTTTGCCAAGATAAATTTAGAAATATTTAACTTATAAATTTATGGTAATATTATTTATATATCGATGAGTAGAAATTATTATATTAATTTTGAAAATTTACCCTTAATAATAAAGGGAAGAATTCCTGTGATATTTGGTTAAGTTTTATTTTAGGTATTAAAATAAATGGTAAGAAAGTAATACAGTGTATACTAATTCACAAATATTAAGGATTTATTAATGAAAGGGGGGAAATTCTTTTATTATTTTAGAAAGAGTAAACGATATGTTCCCACCCAAAGTTTGATGAAATCCTGAGTTGGTACGCTAAGTTCCATTTATTCCATATTCCTACCCCTAAAATAACACTGTTAACATTTTTTGGGGTAGTGAGGGTGCAATTACCATAATGTCCCTAACCCTAAATTAATAAATTATATTTTAGCCCCTAAATTACTAAAATTATAATTAACCATCTTGTTTTGAAATTACTTCAATTATACCCTCAGTGACTGCGCACCGTCTCGATTTTCACTTGATTTGGGCTGTTTTCGATGACGGCGAAACCCCTGGTCACCTCCATTAGCTTCCCCATCGTCCGTCGTCCAAAGCCCCTCTGATTCCTGACTCATTGACCTCTCCAATCGACGCCGCCGTCAAGGTTAGGTTTTTGTCATTCTTCGCCGGATTCCGGTCGATTCCGACGATGAAAATCTAATTCGACGTCACCACTACAACCAGCATCTCTTAATCTACAAAACCCCTATGCCCCAGCAACCGTTTAATGGTAATTTGTCGGTGGAGATCGACGAAAACCAGTCTCATGTGGCGGCTGTCGTGGCTGGGGATCGGCAAGTGATAAGGGGTTGTCAAGGGTACGGTTTTGTAGAGGGGAGGATGAGGGTTCAAATGGTGGTGACAAGGGTGATTTTGGGTGGAAGAATCGTCAGAAAAGGACGAAAAAAGTCAGCGGTGAGGTTGGCTAACGTGCGCTGGAACTTTATCAGGGGCCGCGATCTGCTAATGTGCACCTCCTCTGTGAAATGACCAATTTACCCCTAAGCCGTTATATCTAACCATTTTCTATTACTTTAAGGGTGGGAATATGGAATAAATGGAATTTGGCGGACCAACTTAGGATTTTGTAAAACCTTGGGTGGGAACATGTCGTTTACTCTTTCAGAAATTTTTGTCAATAAATCAGGACTAAGGGGTCGTTTGATTTATAAATAGAAAACGAAGACGGCAATCCAACGACAAAACAAAAACAAAACGGTTTCTTAGTATCATTCTCCACTCTTGTTTTCATTTTCAATTTTTTCTCAACATTTTTTGATTTAAATACACTTTGATACACACATTCCATTCCTTTCATTTATGCATTTCTTCTTCTGCAACCTCTCATCATCATGGCGGGTCTCTACTCTTCTTTAAGACCCATTGCCTCTTCTGCTGCTTCTTCTTCTTCTTCCTCTTCTTCAACCGCTTTCAATTCTCGTCTTCTCTTGCTCTTAACGCTCCTTCCTCTCACTCTCGCTTCTTTCGCTTTCGTTCTTCAATGGCGGGGCGAATTGACTGACCCGGTTGCCCGATGGTCCCCTGATCACCATGAGTTCCCCGGTATGGCCAACACTTTCTCTGACTTGTCCCTCCGGAATTCCAGGTCGGGTTGTCTCGATCCTCTGGGTCGGAGCAACACTCCCTCGTTCCCTTATTTTAGGGACTGGAAGTTTGATTTCGGGTCGGATCTGAAGCCTAAGGTGATTTCCCTCTTTTTTGGGGTTTGAATTGGGTTCCTTGGTGTTTGGGAGGATTATTATTAATGATTATGTTTTAGTTTTTGATCCGTTGATTAATCATTTTTTGTTTTCTGAATTGTTTTATTGCCTTTATGGATTCCATGATATCATTTATTGAGAGTTAATAACTGAATATTCTATTTATTCTTATTTTTCCAATATATTCTGTTTGATTAGTGTGGGTGGGCATTGAGGTTGATGCAGAGTTTTTGCATTTGGAATGAATGATGCTTTTGATCTGGAATCATTGTTATTATTTAATTTCGTTTGTGGAATTTGGACTTTGGCTTTAACAGGAATCTTAAGCATTAATTACAAGTGAAGTGTTCTGTTTCTTATTAAAAAAAACAAGGAAAGAAAGCATATACCCAGTTACTGAAGCGTACTGATTTTGAATCTTTTATTTATTTTAATTTATTTTTTAAATAGGTATATTAAACAAGCTTAGCCTCAATTATTTCTGAAATTTGCAAAAGCCGGATAAGGCTTCGGTTTGACATGAATTTCCATTGATGATTCATATATTTAATTTATTAAGAGTTTTTTTTTTTTTTTTTTTTAATTTAAATGTGGGTTGGGAAGTTTCAAATTTCAATTGTTTTGCACACTAGCAGAGTAAAAAATAATACAGTTTAAATTAGGCTTTCATTAACGGCTTGGTTTTAAGTGAGATAATCTTGATTTGATAAACATTTAGTGTGCTTGTAGAATTCTTTCAAATGATATTTTTCTGATTCTTGTATCTCCTGCACACCAGATATGTATTACATCAAGTACTTCTGCTGGGCTAGAACAGACTTTACCATGGATCTTTTATCACAAGCTTATTGGTGTTTCAAATTTTTTTCTTTTTGTGGAGGGGAAGGCTGCCTCTGCTAACGTATCGAAAGTCTTGGAATCAATTCCTGTGAGTTCAGATTTTATGCTTCTTTGTACATGAAATATTTAAGACCTTTCTAGCACTTTACTGTCAGACGTTTTCACTTTTCTTTTATTTATCCTCAAATTTCTGTTGCATGGGCTATAACATGTATATTTCAGGGGGTGAAAGTGATATTCAGAACAAGAGAATTAGAGGGACAACAAGCTAAAAGGTCAGTTGATGATGATTTTTTTTTATCTGTTTCTTATCTTTTATCCAGTATTTAATTTGAATAAGCAAAATTACTTTATTCAAGCTTCTTCTGTTCATTTACAAACTTTTTGAAAGATGGATACGTAAAAATGCTAATGTGATCGATGGGTAGTTTAGGTAGCACTGCCACAAATATTATGTCTTTTTCTGCTGTTTAAGCTGCTATTCTCCTTAGGATTGTTTTTATCATATTTTTGACAAATCCATAGTAGAAGATTCTAACAGATGAATTATCAGTATTTGGCGGGCCTTATTAAAAAAAAAAAAAAAATTATGATATTGGGCAGAATTAGCAAATAAAGTGTCCACTGTGGAGAGACCATGTGCATGAGAATAAAAGGTTTGGTTTTTTATATTGGGGTTGATTGAATGTAGAACCTCTGCCTGCTATATTTGTCATTGATATCACAATCTATTTTCCTTTATATTTAGAATAGTTTTAGTTTTGCTCCCTTTTCATTCTGATGACATTGGGATGTTTTCTTATGTTGTATATGAATCTAATGCTACAATTATGATGATTTATTCTTCAACTTGTTTTTGAATGTATTTTTGGCTTTAGCCGCATCTGGAATGAGAGTTGGTTGGCAAGCTTCTTCTACAAACCATGTAATTATGAATTATTTGTGAAGCAATCCCTGAATATGGAGATGGCTATTGTCATGGCAAGGGTATGTGTTTTACATTTTCATCTATGGACAATTCAGAATCAGTATGTGTATGTATATTGGATCGTGACAATGATAATTCTTTTGTCCATATTGATTTTTAGGAAGCGGGCATGGATTGGATTTTTCATCTTGACACCGATGAACTAATACATCCAGCGGGAACTCGAGAATACTCCTTGAGACAATTGCTGTTAGATGTACCTGCAAATATTGATATGGTCGTCTTCCCTAATTATGTGAGTGGATCAGCAATTATTACATAGATCTAGTGAATATTTTATAGTTTATATTCTGTATATCTTTGTCCTTTTTGCAATCAGAGGTGATGATGAAATATAATATGTTTCAGGAGAGTAGTGTTGAGCGAGATGATATCAAGGAACCTTTCAGTGAGGTATAATCTCTTCTTATGTGGTTTCCTATATGTCTACCTGGGTTCAATGGAGATGGATAAAATTAATATAAACTGAAAATTGTTAACATTATATTCTACTTTCTTTGAGACTTCATTTGTTTTTCCTTGATATGGCTATTGCCCAGGCAATTTGAACTTGTAGGCTATTTTACTTGTTTTTGCTGTTTGGGTGTGGAAATGTATCGCTAGTTTTAAACTACTTGTAAAAATGCAGTCTTGAAAAGCAACATAAATTATATTGTTCAATTGTTAGTGACTCATGCATACATTGTTACTTAAAATTATCTTATTTTATAATGTTGCCATAGGTTTCTATGTTCAAGAAGAACTATGACCATCTTCCCAAAGACGTATATTTTGGCAATTATAAAGATGCAACACGTGGAAATCCAAACTACTTCCTAACATATGGAAATGGGAAATCAGCCGCTCGTATTCAAGATCATCTTCGTCCTAATGGTGCTCACAGATGGCACAATTACATGAAGAACCCAAGGTGTGGTGATTTTATCTTATGTAGTAACCATTAGTGTATGTATGTATGTGTTTATATATATATATATATAGGATGCTTGTTTGCATGCTTGCTACCTTTTCTATTTACCAATAAGTTCTTGTGTCTTATCAAGAAACAAACTATAATGTTAAGAGTTACGTGTTAATATTGGACCTTTACCTGATAATTTTTTATTCAAGCGGTTACTTAGCAAGGAAGTAGTGGTAATGGTGTCAAGTATGAATTCCTCATTTCTCTTTTCACTTGATCAAATTTATCAGTTCAGCAGTCTTTGAGATCCATTATGAATAAAATCATCTATGTTTCACAAGGTGCCTATTAGACTTGAGCTTATATGAGGCCTTTACCTGATATCTTTAATTTTTTGATTAACCATTTACTTAATATAGTAAACTGTAAAAAAGGGAAGACCTTTTTGAGAACGGGGTCATTATTGGATTATCTGTATCAAATTGCTTGTCCGTATCTAATTGTAGTCGATATTATGAAATTTAGTGTTAAAGAACATAATTTATTTTTCGCTTATCTATAGACTTTGTATGACTATGTTATATTTGATTTTTTGAGAACGGGGTCATTATTGGATTATCTGTATCAAATTGCTTGTCCGTATCTAATTGTAGTCGATATTATGAAATTTAGTGTTAAAGAACATAATTTATTTTTCGCTTATCTATAGACTTTGTATGACTATGTTATATTTGATTTTTTGAGAACGGGGTCATTATTGGATTATCTGTATCAAATTGCTTGTCCGTATCTAATTGTAGTCGATATTATGAAATTTAGTGTTAAAGAACATAATTTATTTTTCGCTTATCTATAGACTTTGTATGACTATGTTATATTTGATAGTGAGATCAAATTGGATGAGGCTGCTGTCCTGCATTACACATATCCCAAGTTTTCTGATTTGACTTCAAGACGTGACCGGTGTGGCTGCAAGCCTACAAAGGAGGATGTTAAAAGATGCTTCATGCTGGAATTTGACAGAGCTGTGAGTTTTTGTCTATTCTCTTTTTATGTGCTTTACCCTTTTTCCTTGTGCAAAATTTTTGTTTTGCCTGATTAAGTTTCTGCTGCTATGATTTCTTTTTTTTCTTTTTCCCTTTTTTATACCACTTAATTATATAATGATTTTTCCACTTTATGTAAATCAGTTTCAAAGTCGGTGGTGTTGACCATATGTCCAAGATAAATAAATAAGAACTGTGTCTAACTCATGCAGTATGCTAAGGACAAACCTGTATCAACAAAATTTGGAAATATAAATGAAATTCATTCTTTGGCTAAAGCATAAGCTCTATAATTTTTCTAGGCTAGCTAATTGGAATTTTCCTCTGCAAACTAATAGCTATAACCTTTAATCATGGATGCTTATTTGTGACAAGAAGGTTTCTATAATCAATCTTTTGGCAGTCTTTTTTTCTCGTCTCTTTCCTTTTATTTATCTTTAAGTGCACTTGTTATTCAGGCTTATTGATAATATTAGCTCTTTCTTGTTATATTCTGTGCAGGCATTTATAATTGCCTCAACTGCAACAGAGGAGGAGATGTTGCACTGGTAAAATTAAATTAAAAAATCTATACAGAACTATATCGAAGAACTAATTTTAAGGGTTTTAATGTGTTACAAGAGAACCTATAGGTGCTTTTGGGTGTCTTACAGATTGATATGCTGCTTTATAGAATTAGCTGTAGGATTTCTTATTTTAATAGTACTTTAGATACTAAAAATAACAAATGATTGCTCCCTCTAATGCCTGTTATCTGTTTATATAGGTATCGCGAACACATTGTGTGGACTGATAATACCCTGAATCTCAAACTTCTGAAGAAGGGCATCTTGACTCGTATTTATGCTCCCATGGTAAGTTCAAATGCCATTTTTTCCCGGCAGGCTGCATTGCTATGGTTCTTAGAGCTGAACAATTAAAGATTGTGTGCACTTATGTACACCCTTTGTTGTCAGTTTCCTTGACATTACAGTGTTGCTCTGTTCACAGGCCATTATTCAAGCAATGAGGGAATCTGGGGTTTTCAGTTCAGTAATTGCTTCAGCAGAGACGGGCCTTTCAAAGGAAAAGTTTTTATCATCCGTTGAAAGTAGTAACACTACTAGAGGAGTTAAATCCGGAATAGTCTCATCAAGAAAGGTTGGCAATAACAGTGAATCTCAGGCAACTGCAAGAAGGGTCTTGGAGTTTTCTAATGATGCGACTTATACTTCTGCAGTTACACCACAATCTCCTCCCGGCCTGGATGACATTGACTTTGATACAACATTACAGACTACGGTCGAGTGATGCCTAAATCTTACCTGGCTTCAGTGTTGAAGAAGGATCTAATTTTGAAATGTTAGCAAAAGAGAACTGAAGGGAGTGTTGTGATGTGGCATCATTGTTCAGTTTTGTGGAGCTCTTCCCGATCATTACCCAAGCGCTGGTGTACATTTCAGGTTTAGATTATAGGTTTTATAGAGTTAGAGATGTAGAGCGGGATTCAATTCCATTGCTGAAGCTTTTTTTCTTCTTATTATTTTAGTAAATGGTAATATTTCTGAGAATGCTTTGGGTTACAACCTTGGTTTGTAATCTGAAGTTACATTTTGTCATGTTAGTTTAACCACATTGGAGTGGTAATATTACATTACATTGTTTAGGCCCCATTCTTCATATAAAAATGGTCTTATTCATTGCATTTGGTATATTACATTTTTTTCCCTGCCTTAAAATTTTGCCGTTTTCTAGTACTTGAGGAGAGACAGTGTGTCAATGTGTAATATTACAAAACCATAGGGACTAAAATGTGCTCATGATCCTGCTTAATACACATACAAGCTTGGGTTGGGTTATTATCTTAGGGGTGTAATCAAGCTGACGCGAGTATTGAGAAGCTCGAGCTCGGCTAGGCTGGAATAGTCGAAGCTGGAGCTTGAGTTTGAACGAACTTCAATTGTTGTGATTGAGCTTGAGCTCGACAGATTTATGGTGGGCTCAAGCTCGAATAACCTGTGCAAAAATACACGGTAAAGCAGATGCAAACTAATGTTAGCACATAGCAAAGCCAGCTTAACAAGATGAGATATGTCCAATAGAAGTTAATACAATCTCTCCAATAGAAGTTAATACAATCTCCCTGGTGGGTATAGATTCTGGATTTCAAAAAACCTGCTGCTCAAGTCAAGGCTGATCCATCGACAACGACAAAAGGCCAAAAAGCATCAACTCTGTTCACAGATATGTCAACAACATATTGATCTCTACAAATTTAATTCTCTTTGATCTTATCCTGAGCAGCGAGTAGAGATTTTCTCTTAGTCTATGAAAAGACAGATTGCATCGATTACAACACCAATTCATGACGAAATAAATAAACAAAGAAGCATGTAACTAAATCAACAAGCTGTGACTTTTACCATGCTCGAACTGGTTTGTTATTTAAATGCTTTAAGACTTTAAAAAGAACACTTAAAACCAACTTAACACATAATTCTAACTTCCAAATGAAGAAATTTCCTGCCTAGCTTTACAAGCTGGACAAAGTAACCCAATTCAGATTAAAAATATATCACACTATTTCTGCATTCAGAAAGCAACTCCAAAAATAGAAAAATAATTGAATGTTGATGATAATCTGACCACGCACTTCAACCGAACTACAGAAACTTATCAACCATACACACAAATAAATCCTACCGACAAATAGAGGCTAGAGCCTGCTTTTCTCTGAGGTTCTAAGAAACTTGTAAAGATTTCACTTCCACTCTAACCTGGAATTCCCACAAACAGACATTTCTTCTCTTTGTCTTTTTTATAACACCATAATTGTGTATGTAGTCAAACTAATGGCTTTTTCTTTTTTCCGAAATGCACATACCTGACGCAAGCTGTAAGGATCTGCATATAGACTTCCTTCATAAACATGATCAAATAATCTCCTGAATTCCATCAAATGAAGGGATATACGGAAAAAAAAAAGTTTTAAGTTAGACTAAAATAAAAGGGTCAAAATTTTTATAATTTAGTAAATGGACTTACTTTGTTCCTTTTCTTCGCTCAACTGATATTGCGACATCAATCACCTCCCATAGTAGCATTTGCACTGTTTCCAAGAGAAGCTTGATAATTATCAATAACTCTACTTCCAACAATAAAGTAGCCTTGGAAGTCACCATGGTTATAGAAATGACTAGTATATCACAAGTCACATTACCACCGATTATAGAAATGACTAGTATGTTACGAGTCATATTAGATAAGATACGATACTTCAAATTATTGACCTTTCACCAGTCTAAAGTATCAAACGCATCTAGATCCTCTCACAAATATAACATCCCTCTTCCAGATAATAATCTAATTCAGATTTTTGCTGTTGAACAGTTTCAACCGCCCTCAGAAACTGCGCAAATTCTGATCAACCAGAAGTTCCGTTTTGTACATTCACTTGATCAACCACTTCAGTTTTAGCTCTACAGTCATTGGTAGAAGATTGATTGTTAGCCACATATTCCCCATAAAGCTCATACAAGGTATTAGAAACGTGTTTGGAGAGAATGACGAAATTGATTTTGCTGTTTTGTATATTTCTCAATCAAAGATACAGCTATATATGTAGATAAAGACAAATGCCCTTAAGCCAAAATACACAAATGCCCAGAAGACGAAATTGATTTTCTTGTTTTGTATATTTCTCAATCAAAGATACAACTATATATGTAGATAAAGACATATGCCCTTAAGCCAAAATACACAAATGCCCTTAAGCTTACACTAACACAGATTACTTAATATCCCTCCTCAAGTTGGTACATGATACAAATTAATCATTCCCAACTTGCCAATTAAGTAGTAAGTAGTCATGTTGTTTCCGACTTAGTGGTTTTGTCATCAAGTCAACAACCTGCTCAATCGTGGAGATATGATGAATCTTGATGATACCTTCTAAAATCTTTTCTCTTGTAATGTGACTATCGATCTCGATGTGTTTTGTTTGCTCATGAAACACATGATTGACTCATAATACATACTAGTTGAGGTCAATGAATCAACACCCAAGTCTCTGAATAAACCAATGATCCATGAAAGCTCACAAGAAAGTGTTGCCATTGATCTATATTCTGCTTCAGCAGATGATTTGGACACAATCTGCTGCTTTTTAGATTTCCAAGATACCAGTGAGTTGCCTAAAAAAACACAAAATCCTATCGTAGATCGTCTACTCATTAAGCATGAAGGCCAATCACTATCACAAAAAGCTTGTAACTCCAATTCACTGGAAGAGGGAAACAATAAACTAGAGCCAGGATTCAACTTTATGTATCTGATTACCTTCATGGCAACATCAAGATGTGACCCTCTAGGTTTGTGCATGTGCTGACTGAGGAGTTGTACCACATAGCTAATATCAGGCCTTGTCATAGTTAAATAGATCAAACGACCTATTAACCTTTGATACACACTAGGATCTTCAAGGAGAGTATCAACTTTCTACTCATCATTGTTGTCATATTCAAAACTAGTTAGCTTTGTGTTTTGCTCCATGGGTATGCTAGATGGTTTTGTTGAGCTTAGGCCAGCTTCGGATATAAATTCCAATGCATATTTTTGCTGATCAATGCAAATTCCTTGATTAGATCGAGCTATCTCAAGTCCAAGGAAAAACTTTAGTGTGCCAAGGTCTTTAATATGGAATTTTGAAGCAAGATAAGCCTTTGTGTGTCAATGCCTACCAAGTCATCTCTAGTCAACAATATATCATCTGCATATAGAAGTAAAACTATTAGTAGACCATTGTTCTTTTTGATAAAAAGAGAGTAATCATATTTGGATTGTTGAAAACCCCCTTCAATCAATGTAGCACTAAATTTCGAGTTCCATTGCTGAGAGGCTTGTTTCAAGCCATATAGTGACTTTTGTAATTTGCAAACTTTATGTTCCTTATCTTTAGATGGAAAACCAGGAGGCATTTTCATGTAAACATCCTCATAAAGGTCACCCTGCAAAAATGCGTTATATAAATCTAGCTGATTTAAAGACCAACCCTTAATAGAAGCTAAAGCTAAAACAAATCTTACTGTCACCATTTTTGCAACTGGAGAAAAAGTCTCCTTAAAATCAATCCCCTCCTTTTCATTGAATCCCTTGGCTACTAATCTAGCCTTATACCTTTCTACGACTTATATTTTATCTTGTAAACCCATTTACAACCAATTGGCTTGTAATTCTTAAGCAAATCTACCACCAACCATGTATGATTTTTTTCTAAAGCTAGAATCTCATTTTTCATAGCCTCTATCCATAATGGATCTTTAGAAGCTTCAGAAAATGAAGTAGGTCCAATCAGGGAAGAAAAAGAAGAAATTAGAGCCAAATAATTGGGAGAAATATTACCATAAGAGACATGATTAGAGATAGGATATTTGAAGGAACAAGAAGATTTGTTTGACTTGATAGTAGGACATATGTAGTCCTTGGACCAAATGGAAGGCTTGGACACTCGAGTAGAATGTCTGGAGGAGATTGATGGGGCTGTTTGGCTCAATGTTGGAACATGCTCAGTATGATCAAATATAGTGTCTGATGTAGCAAAATCTGTTTGGGCAATATTTTGGGATACTGGTTGTGTGGTATGTGGGGAAACATTATTGTCCATTGGTGTCTCAATAAGGATTAGGTCATTTGCATTAGGTAAGGGATAAAACGGTTTATCGAAATCCACAGCAACTGATTCTGTAATTGTGCACTAATTCGTAGATGTAGATAATGCAAATGGGAATCTACTCATAAAAAATGACATCCCGTGACACAATTTTTTTTTGTGAATCAAGATCATATAAAATGTATCCTTTTGAGTAACACAATAACCAAAAATACACAAGCAATTGACCGAGATGAAAATTTATCATGATTATTGAGCTTTGTGACATAAGTAAGACATCCAAAAACTTTAAGATGATCTAATGAAGGAGATGTGCCAAATAAAATTTCATATGGTGTTTTGTTTTTGAGAATGGGAGTTGGAATTCTATTAATAAGATATGAGGCCGTTTTAATACATTCTCCCCAAAACCTTGAAGGAATGGAAGCTTGATGCATAAGTGCTCTAGCAATATTCAACATGTGTCTATGTTTTCTTTCCACCAAACCATTTTGTTGTGGTGTGTACACACTACACACAAGATGTTTCATGAATTATTCCTAGAGATTCAAAGAAATTTTTTGTGTCACTATTAAGAAATTCCAAACCATTATCAGATTTGACTCTTGTAACAGGAGTTTTAATTTGGTTTTCAACCATTTTAATAAATTTTTGTAACAATTGGTTGCTTCAGATTTGTAAGACATCAAAAAAGTCCAAGTGGCACGAAAAAAATCATCCACGATGGTTAAAAAATATCTAGCACCATTATGAGTTGGTTCTTTATATGGCCCCATGAATCTATATGAATGAGTTCAAAAACACCCTTTATAACTGAGTGACTATGTGTAAAAGGCAATCTTGTTTGTTTTGCTAAAGGACAAATCATGCATTCAGTTATATTACAATCAGGCAAATGTGGAATGAGTTTCATTT